GTCGGGGTTACTAGCTTTTGATTGGCTGTCTGGACGCCGGCAGTATCCGCAGGGGAAAATAAGGGTTTGGGTTGCAGCTGGAGGGTCACGCTGAGACCCTAATCTATACGGATGAGTGACTCTCGCCATAGTGTACGCGACATGTACAATCTAGATCTATGCCAAGACCTATGTCAAGCAAGTCAAGCAAGTCTCAATCTACGGCTTGACTTGATTACTCATAAAAACCTGGCCGACTTGACTTGGTGACTAACCGCATTTGGATCAAGTCAAGCAAGTCAAGCAAGCCGGACTTGCTTGTGGCCACCTCTGCTCAGACGAGGCATCGAAATTCGGCTCTTGACTAAGACTTTTCAAGAAGCTATCGAGGTCACCCGTAGACTAGGTGTCCGGTATTTATGGATTGATTCCCTCTGCATCGTGCAGAGGAGTGAGACTGATTGGTTGTCCGAGTCCAAGGTTATGGACGAGGTGTATGCGAATGGATATTGCAATATCTCCGCACTCGACTCCAGCGAAGGTTGTCAAGGTCTTTTCCGCGATCGAAACCCAGCCTCATCAGTACTGGACATCGTCCACATGGCGGAAGGAGACATAATCGTAGTTCCAGAGAACTATGGGCGACGCCAGATTGATGAATCACCAGCTTCCAGGAGGGCTTGGATTTGTCAAGAGAGACGTCTGAGTCCCCGTACGCTACATTTTTCAACTCACGAGCTCATGTGGGAGTGCTGTAGTGGGTTCAGATCCGAAATGTTCCCCAAACTGACCCTGCATCGCTCATCGCCTAACAATATGCTACTCTCCGAGGTCTTCTCGACGGCCAAGGATCTTGCACTTCACAAAAGCCGGAATTGGGGCACATGGCGACCCAAGTGTCGACTGTACGAATACCTTTGGTCATATGTGTCACGCTATACGAGATTCCAAATTTTCCAACCAAAAGAGGACCCCGTCTACCTGCAATGGTGGGCACTCCAAGAAGCTGACTCTCGAGCTGACATTACCTATCTCGGTGATAAGGCCCTAGGTATTGCGGGACTCGCAAAAAGATTTGAGCCTCTAATGGGAGATGTCTACAGAGCCGGGATATGGCAGAGACGAATCCGATCAGAGCTGTTGTGGGAAGCAAAGCCCAATGCCGCCTCCCAAGGGAGCGTCGTCCAGCATCAACGTACCCATCCTTCGCCGAGCTTTTCGTGGCTTTCAGTCTCGTTTCCCGTCGTGAGACATACGTTTGGTTCAGACACCAGAAAGATATTTCGCGTCCAGCGATTTGACATGGAGTTTGTGACGGATGACCAGACGGGTTTTGTCAAGAATGCGGTCTTAACATTACGAGCCCGAATGATCCGCATTCACCTCAAGCAAGTTCGCGATACATTTCGTTCCGTCCAGAACGATTGGGCGCAAAGGTTAGTACTGCCATATGGAGAGGAGCAGGACTGGGACTTATATGCAGACATAGATTTCGACTTTCCGCTCCCGTTGATCCAGACCGGATTCAAGTACTTTCTCCTCCTGATGGTTACAGGAATTACGCAAAGCGATCCAGCTTTCGGTTTGGTTGTTGAGCTGAGCAACACTTCGGATACTACATTCCGAAGAGTTGGATATACAAGTTTTGGTAGCGGCGATACCGAGAAGTTCCGTAACATTCGAGTAGAAGAGGCCTCCTATCCTTGCGACAAATGTAATCTTGCAACGGGTAGACATTTGATTAGACTTATATAATTTGCTACGGGTTTATAATCAACCATTTGAGTGACTCTGGCTATAGCTATAGCTACCGGTCTCCACCGCAATATACAGGCTTGTACCTATAGTACTAGGGTACCATTAAGATCTAAGATCTAAACTAGCGATGCTGAATGCGATCCCGGACAGTACTAGTAAGGGAGCATCACGGGTGGACGGACGAATTTCCAACCGTGGTGAGGCGGGTTTCTGGCTGGGAAAGAGGTATTTCGAATACGTTCTTTTCCGGAGCATCGTAGGGGAGTCTTCAGATAATGTTCTCTACTCAAACTTGAGGTAAGATTGCACTTCGTACGCCGTACGCTTGCTGATTATTTTCCTAGTCGGTGTTGCATGAAAGACCGAAGGAACACGCCTTCGACCGAAACGTCAGATAACTTCAGCGCAAGCTCCACTTCAACCTCTTGCTTACCTTTGAAGATGCCTTCCGAAACAATTACTGGTTGATCGATTTCAGCTATCCCTAGGTGGGGGATCTACACCTAAGTGACTCTCACCTATCGCCGCTTACGGGTATATGCAGGCGCGGGAAGAGTATTGAAAGTTGAGTGTCCTACCTAGATTGCTATTCTCCAGCTGTGTTCGAAAGGGGTCGACTGGCTATGGCAGGGTGTCTAAAGCACGTGACTATGGCATGCTGCAATATTACTACTACTCGGTTGCGGCTGTTCCTGGGCTACGACGCATATAAGGCGACATCCGGAGAGCAAACATCGTAGAATAGAGCATAAAGACGCTTAGCATATTACAGAAGAGGTGTAGACATGGCCTGGACTCGCCTTGTCTGCAAGTCAGCTTCTGCTGCCCAGCACCGTTGGGCCCCCAATTGAAGCACTACCCATCTACCAAGACGGTATGTAATCTGGCTTGGAGCCCGAGTGGTGTCGATACGTTTGCCGGAGCATAAGGACAATACGGCGGCTTTGGCGACAGTGCTATCAACAGTCTAAGCAGTGTCGCTGTGACCGCCGTAGCTCCGGCTACTTTGAGGTGTTTCCGCGCCGGTAGACGGACGACGCGACGCCCACGACCAGCCCGGGTACGGACAGCGCCGTATGTGCATCTGCATGGAAGCAGACATGGAAGCAGGCAAACGAGATAGTCGCCGCGGCAAAAAGGGACGCCGAGCAGAGGATCGCCGAAGGCACCGTGGATGAGGCCAACCCGTGGCTGCGCCGGGCCGGCTAGGCGTCGTACTTGGCGGGACAGGACCGCGGAGTGCTCGTACAGCTGGTCGAGGAGCCGGTCGTCGATGATAATCCCACAGGACGTCGCCCGGCCGAAACCGCCGAGAGAATACCAGCAGCAGAGACCACTTTGACTGAGAAGCTTACTATAGCGGTGTAGAAGGCGATGGCCGACGTGGGCGCGGCCAGCCAGGCGACCGTCGCCGGAAGTGGCATCTTGATCCAGATGCAAGTAGTACGGACGGAGCGGGACCAGGTCCGATATCAGCCGCTGCAGCCATACCAGGAGCGGACGTCGATCGCGAAGCGCTGCCGGGTGTGGCAACAGATGCTCGTGTTCTTCGTACGGACGTAACGTATGCGTGACACCGGCACAGCTACCGGGCCAGGGTATCGATTTAATCGGCGGCAGGCAGTAGCGTTCTAGCGCTTGATAGCGGCGGCGGAGGACGTGGTTGGAGGTGAAGAACTAGCGAATGGCGTCGACATTGCGGCCAACGACGAAACTGACGACGAAAGTAATAACGAGGCCTGCAAGAGTCTCGGGGCAGATGAAGCAGTAGCGACAGGAGAGGAAGCTAGTCCGTAGAACGCGCCGCTAACACCCATCCAGCACGGATCTTGCTCGGAGCGGCCGAAAACATATTCTGCGTAGATTGGTGACAGGTCCTCAATATGCGGGTGTGGAAGTTTCGAACACCGAGACCGTCGTCGGGCCCGAGCCTCTACGAGAAAGCGTGCACAATCTGAATTCCCTACCAAGGTGCGTAGCGCCAAAGCTTATAAGAGAGTGATGTTCCGGGGTGTCTCCGAAGAAATTTTCTATTTTCTCTAATAAGCTCGCAGGTCATAGTCATGGTACATAGAATGCTCTTTCGATGGGTTCTCGCGCCGATTCCCATGCTAACCAGTCGGATCTCGTTGTTCTGTGTAAAGCAGTCAGTACGTAGACATTCAAACGCCTTGCAGGAAAAAGGAGGAACATACGGCAGCAATCCCATGCCGTTAACTTTCCAAATGCCCAAAGCTAAAGCCAACAAATTACACCCGACGAACGCAAGTTTCACCAAAATCATCTGCTGCCGGTTGCCTTCACTCTCCAATCTCTGAAACGTCGCGTTGATATTGAACATCGCGGTGATCGGCCCCTTGAACAACATCATCACCATCATGATGCTAAAGATCTGCAGGCTGTTTCCGGACATATACATGCCAATGGCGTTCATGGGGAGTTGCTTTGCAGGCGCGAGAGCAAGTTCCCAAGCCTTCTTCAATTTTAACTGATCCATCTCTTCCGTTGTGGGAGGTTTGCGTGGTGTGACTGCATTACTGGATGCGCCGGCGACGGCTGTAGAGGATTTGATGGATTGCTTCGTGGAGCGGCTTTGGATGGTCGTGGAGGATGGAAAGCCCGGTGGGTCAGGGAAGACGTGTGCTTTCGATTTGGTCGCAACTGTTGTAGCCGTCACACCGGATATGGAGTTGAGATCGACTAGCCATTGCGGCGATGAAGCCGCGAGCGGTTGTGCGGTCATTGTTGCCATGGTATAGATGTTGCAGTGCGTGTGGTCTGCCTGCGCTTAATGCTTTCAGGTGACGTTCAGGCGGGATGCATAAAATGCACAGGCTTCACAAATTCGGTATCACGTGCGCTGAATATCCATGCAAACCTTGGAACCTCCGCGGCCATCTGGGAAGTGCTGCTTCAGGACGGATTACCTTAGACAGGGCCGAAGTGCACCCAATCGCATCGAAATGTAAATGCTCATACCGCGCCGGGACGTACGATCGCCGAGTTTTCGAGTTTCCAGCTAATAATTGAGCACAATTATGCCGGCAAGGCGAAGTGGGAGACGCATGAGATCACTAAATTCCTAGCTAAATCGAATTCATCTGCCCACTTCTCGCTCATGTTTCTCCTCCTCGTTCATTGCAGATCTCTGCATATACTGACCTCATAGATCGCAAACCACCATGACCCAAGAAGTCATGCCCCACATGATGAAAATGACGGGCGCTGGTGAGAAGGGTGGCCCTCCAATGCCAGAAATGCTCACTGCATCGGCCGTTGAAGAAACCCAAGCCAAAGCGCTTCCAGATTTTCGAAGATCACTCGCGATTGCAAGCTTTTCTTGCGCGACACGAAGCTACCATCCGTAAGCGTTGGCTCAAGCAGATATCGGAGCAACGTCGAAAAACATTGCTCCCGGTGTGGCTTCCGGACAAGATGAGTGCCACACATCACCCCGATTCTGCGGGTTTCTACAGGGAAGCCCCACAAGATGGCAGCCAACAGACGGTCTATCGCAGCGCACATATCTGGCCGTATATCAACGAAGAGGATCTGGTACAGCCGCGAGCACTACTGATGTTTATGCACCCCCGCGTAGAATGATCGCCTGCGGAATCCGCGGCCCCCGATTCGCTGGCAATTCATATGTGCGTCAAGACTTCGAGCACGGTCTCTACAGAAGAGCTCATCACACCATTCTCCCATGTCTACCTTGATCTGCAACATCGAACGGAGCGGACATGAAGCAGGATCCTGCTTCAATCTTGATGTTGCGCACAAAGGATAAAACCTGAGGGCTGATGGCGAAAAGGTCCTCACAAGCATTGATCGACCACGAAAGCCCGCCAATACCCCTTCCAAAGACTTTCACGCTCGTGATCGCGCCTTGAAAACATTTCGAGTGCTCTCTTTCATTCCTTCGACAACCGCCACGCCAGGTGAGGTTTCCCGGACGGACTTTCTTCATGCAATGACATTGGTCGGCTTTGCTGCGACGAAAATGTATGGCTCTACATGGCAATTCCAGCCATCTTGGCGTTGAGCGAAGCATCCATTTCCATGAACCATATCCTTGCGGCAAAATCCCGTTTCATATGTCATGGAGACATGGAAGACATCTGCAATGTACGTATGGATAGGAGGCTCGGACTCATGGGCTTGCTTATACAATAATCGCGAATGGCGATGTTCGCGCATCATCAGCGACGTATGCAACGCGGGCAAACTTCCTCTGCGACGCAAGCTTTCAAGGATAGATGAACGGTCCTGATGGCATGCGTCCTTCTTGAAAGAAGTCCTCTCGGGAGACAGATTGCTTCTCGAAACAGAGATACCATCTATTGTTGCCGTGCTGCCAAGTCCATACGTGCCACGGTTGATTCTTGGCCCACTCCTTTATGTTCTTCGGGACCAGGTGTCGTTCTTTGTTTGTGACCCCAAAGTGGTGGTTCTCAACAACAACACTTCGTAGACGCGTGAATTCCGGGTCGGAGAGAAACTGTAATATCTGATCAGTATGCCTCCTGGTCGTCTGTGGTGTGGTTCCGCCTTGTCCCCTTGTGATACTAGAACCAGAATCACAGTGCAGGTACTCGAGATCCAACGGCAATATCTCGCTGAGATGTCGTCTCGACAACGGTCCCGATTGAATACCGGGATTATAGCCAGGGCTACCATCGAACAAGCAGTAATAGTTTATGCGCAGCGCCAAGAGTGAGTGCATGTCTTGCAAATTAGGGATCCCGACAAGCTCTCCTCGACCTATCATATCGATTCCAAGATTTTTCAGCGGCGGACGATGCTTGCGGAAAGCGTTCAGTAAGTCTGTCCAGAAACCCTGACGGTAATCAAGTGAAAAACTCAGGTGCTCTACACAAGGCAGATATTTGAAGATGTCTTTCAGAACCTCTGAGCGCAGCGGTCTGTGTTGATAGTTGTTGTACCATGCCGTTGGGTGCTCTTCAGCCATCGGACTGTAATGAAACCGGCGAACAGTGCTCATTGGGCTGGACGCGACGCCCAGAAGCTTGGTAGATGCGTCCGCAATATTGAACAGGGCAAGGCGTTTGATGTTCGGTAATTGAAAGAACGGTACCAACTTTTCTACGTGCACGAGTCCCGACCCTTCCAAGTCAAGCGAGACAAGCTTTGTTAGAACCAATGGAGAGCCCAATTTGGCGATCTCTAACACCTTGAAAAGTGGCGAGTGCGGGATCACCAGGTGGTCGTCGGTGAGACCGATGCGACTCAAGTTGATGCATAGCAGCAATAACAGTGCTATCTTGGCGGCGTCGGCAGCAGCTCCTCTTCGCATAAGATTTTGCTCCAATTGTTGTCGGAGCTCTGCCGATGAATTGACTTCGTTCAGAGCAAGATCCCACGAAACTGGTTCCTCGAGAGACTCTTGGCCAGGGCGCGGGGTTAGGATCCGTGTCCGCGAAAAGTTCAATGCAAGCACATGTTGAGCTCGCCGTGGCTGCTCTGCGATTGTGCGCATGAAGTAGTGAAAAGATCCTTCATTCTTGATCGCTGCAAAATCGATTCTTCGGTATAGTAGAGGAGTGACTGCGGCGTGCCAGGTCTTGCAGACCCGTGAGACACTCAGCCAAGTCTTTGGTCGTTCTTTGAGGACAATATCTTGACAAATCAAGTGGACAATGTCTTCATTTAGCCGCGGCACGTTTAGCAGCTGAGCTGCTCCTCGCCCATTATAATCGACATACTTCATAATCATGATGGCGCTTGATATGGAGCGCACCACAGGCTTGTATTTACGATAGCAGAGTGATGTAGTCGTCTAGTGGTTATCCCGTCGTGCACGCTCTGCGATTTGCCGCACCATGCAGTGGCATTTCATGTATCATGTATCGCTTCACATTTCATGTTTGTGTCATAAGCTCACATCGCCCAGATTGACTCATAATGAGTATGCTTCTGTTTACACAATGTTCAGTCCTGCTGCATCCTTGAGCGATATTGTCCTGACAATATGCAGCATGGCTGACCACCTTATGACTCATCCAAAAGCTTGACCACATCGGGAATCTTTTCATTGGCCACTACAATCATTAACCGGACGAGCCGTATCATAAACTGGTCAGTATGCTACTTGTACTTCTGTAAGTTGGGTCTGACATCGCAGTAACATTAGATAATAGGATAATACGACAATGACAGCATAAATGTATAAAATTCGCAGAGTGAGGTCGAGCTCCCGACGCGCAATGTTAAATTTTCTGCCAAGTCCACTGCTGATTAAACATTTACTACCCTTCATGATGCTTCCAAATGCGGTCGGTCATCTTTGGACTAAAAGATTGACGGAAGCTTGTTTACCATGAAGATTCTGCGAGTCAGTAGGCGCGTCTTTAACGAACATGGTTTAGGCCCAGCCTCATCTACTATCGAAACCTTGGTCTCGGACAAGGCTTTGCTTATATTGTGGTCGACATGAAGCTCCTTCGCAATTCCGAGTCTCACGATGAATAACAAGAGCGGCACGGAGTCCGATCTATCATCGTGAACAAAAGTAAATCGCGTTGGCATACACTGAAGCCTCTCCATAGGAACACAGCCGGGGGTCTCACAGCGGAGAGAATACGCGTTTAATGTCTTGCTGGCCTCAAAAACATTCTTGCGATGACTGAAATAACTTCGAACTGTCGCGAAGCGATCCATCGCTGGAACTCCACCCTAGGCTTACGACTGTTGCGCAGGGTCAAGTTTTGGGCGACCGTAGAGCAGCACGTCACTTATCTGAGTTGTGCGAAGTTCTCGTGGCACATCAGGGAAAGCAATTGACTTATTTGTCCGGCCATATGTGCTTCAGAAGTGTAGGAAGTATAAGCTGCCCGTTCCCAAGAAGGGTGCATTACCAAAAAGTCCAGACTCGTTGGTAGTGACCTGTCCAGGTAGTCTTCACCCCAACGAGCGCCTGACATATGCTGTAAATTGTCTGCGTCACCTTCACCACTCTCGTCTTGGAAATCGTCTTCGCTTTCTTCATCTTTTGAGCCGTCTCCGCTCTCCCCATCTTGAGAATCGTCTTCGTCTTCCTCGTCGGGTGAGTCGTCTTCGGTCTCCACATTTCGTGAAACGCTTTCGTTTTGATCATCTTGGAAACGGTCTTCGTCTCCCTTATGTGTACGAAACATGAGGAAGAGAAAGTGCATGTCAACAACCAAAGTTTTGAGTACAGGCATCAAGGCAAGCCTCGCGGGAGGGATCTCGGTATGTCCATGACCAGGTAGAATCTGACGGACCGGCACTGTAAAGTGCAAGCTTTGATGTTCTTTCCGTAGATTCGAAGCTTCTTGCAACCTGATGCCAAAGTCCACCTCTGTTGAAGCCATCGCCGTCGTCGAGCTGAACGGCGCAGGTTAGATCCTCCAAGCCGGGCATTGCATGCAAGATAAGATACCAACCAACATAGTTGTAACATACCAGTTCTGCGTCGAGGCGTGCTTCAACGTCCGCGCATGTTCATCACATTGCATCCTGTAACCGCGTGCACGTATTTCCACAAATACTGAAGTATGCCCAATCTGGAGCGTAAATATACATATATATATGTACTCGCATCATCGATCTAGCACTTCTATGCACGCGTTCATTGCTAAGGAAAACGCGAGACGCTTTCACAGACAGTTGCGGACTATAGTCGCGAACGCCGATTGTATCCAACCTGCTGAGCTCGAGAAGCTCAGCGGCTTGATGAAGCGCTGCCGCGTAAGCTCGGTTTCCGAGCGCCTTGGTTTGAGAATTTTGCTCGCATGGAGAGTCACTCTGTGGAAATTTCTGGGGATCTTTTCATTTGATATGCGATTATTGTTTTACAAAGCTACTCCATTGCTCAAACCCCATCACTCGAAATCGCACTTGGGCCAGGATGTTGGTCCGATTCAGCTGGAAGTGAGACGCCGCCCAGCGGCGAATGCTTTGCATTCAGAGCATTGATCAGGGGCCCTGGCTTCGATTTCCTCCAATTGAGAGATGACCCAGCTCCTCACTCGTGGTAACTTCCCGGGTGGTCTTGGGAATCGGGGCTCGTCCTGTACTTGCGCCATCGCATTGTGACGTTCTTGCGTGTAGAGCGAATCCAGCCGCGCTTCCCGCAACCAGTTTGGTTCCGATGGATCTCTGTGCTTTGGTCTGAATAGCGAAGGTCTTGTCAAGAAAATGCGTTCAGTGGACTTGTGACCGGGCCGACCTGTGTTGATTCCGATGTCCCATTTGTGAGATATGATCAGATCCTTGAAACTGAAGAGATCGTTCCAGAGAGAGCAATTGCCCAGTATTACCAGTTGAAGCTCAGAGAATGACTCGTGAGTGAGCAGGTATCGTAGCTGTCTCTGGTGCATCGCAAAATCGTCCCCTTGAGGAAACATTGCAGTAAATGACAAATGCTTCAGAGTCGGAGGAAGGAAGTCAACGAAAAATGACTCGCTATACAGTCCATTGGTTGGGCCATGTTGCCCATGCCCGTCGTACTGATGACGATGTAGGAAAAGAAGCTCAGCGTCTAGATGCAACGATTCCAGACATTGCATGTCTCGAAGACTGAACTTTGCTTCGTAGATGTGACGGAGTCTTGATGTTTCCTTACCATTGTCGAATATGGTTTCATGATTCACTTCTGCAGTCATGTATCCGAGGTCCCAATCGTGGCTGCTCAAGATGAATTCAAAATGTTTGATGCTCTTGCCATTATCACACAAAGCTGAATATGTCGTATGCAACCCTTCCTTCGGGTGATGGTCTTGAAAATGAACTATGCAGTGTAGGTTGTAAATCACAGAGAAATGTTCGAGCTGGGGAAGGTAGCTCAGGATATCTGGTATCGGGCTGGAGTATGGCTCTTTGTTCAATCTTCGCACCAAGTTGAAAGATCGAATAGATTTTGAACTGCATTGAGGTATGTCGGCTGCAAACCCTTTATTGTCCATCTCGTGCGCTGTGACTTTTTCGAGCGATGGTAGTTGCAGGAGATAGGCGATATCATTCATGTTGATGCATCTGCTGTAATCCTGAATGCCCGCAGAACTGGTGGGGTCCTCTTCTACTATATTGAATACCTCCACCTCGCGGATATTGATCGCCGATTCAGGTGTACACAACATTCGCCGCAATGCTATGAATTCCTCGAAAAACTTTGTGAAATTATTCTTGTAGCCGAAAACGTGGGTAGGCTCAATGAAATTTCCACATTCGAGGTTCTTGCATAAGAGGAGTAAGAGCATAATTTTGGTCCGGGCTTCAGTTTCGCGGAAAGCTGCGAGTATCAATTGTCGAAGGTTGGGAGATAAGCCCTGCAACGACTCGATAGCGAGAATGAAGTCGTTCGATGGCTCTGAGTTGTAACGCGTCATGTCTTTGCTTGGGAATTTGACGGATTTGACATGTTCTGCACAATGAGGGTACTTGATAATGGTCAATACGAAACGATCAAACGTCGTCAAGTGATCTTCTTCGGTATCCAGATCTCGTACAGCCTCATCTTCTGAGAAGTCGAGCGCCTTGTAAAGGCATTTCCTGAACAGATTGGACCAAAGTCGGCAGGTCAGGGTTATGTTGCGTAAGGTGCTGTCTCGCTTGTCCCCTTCAATGCATTCCACGATCTGTATGAGCAATTCGATGGGTAAGTAGGGAGTCATCTTGAATTTCAAAAGGCTGTGATGAAGCGCTGTGAAGTGATCGACCAACGGCTCAAGTGAAGCTTTGATGTCCGGGCATTGTCGATGAAAACGCAAAAGGCAAGTTTGCCTACATCAGATGGTCATCGCACATATATATGTGGAATATCTCAAGGTTCGTCATTAGTTGGTTGTGGAGGCACGGCATCCCTGTGCTGTGCGTATCACATTGCTGTGAGTGTGTCCCTCTTTGTCGCGGGCGGCTACAGTGCCCCAAGGAAGTTTTCGCCTTCGACAAACACCATTTGCTCGCCGAAATATATTTCTAATCTTAGACGTGTTTCTCCAACGATGACTGCCTAGGTATTTGAGGATACTGATGTTTAGTTAACGCTTCCGATGAATAGATGCTGTGCAGCGATTCCGCGCGAAATGTTAAGCAGCTCCAAAGTCCCACAGTCCCAGACATTCGCCGATGGGCTTCGAGATGATTTTCAAGATTTGTTACCTACACGATGATGGATCGATTTTGCATAATTATCGCGCACTAATTCCAAAGCCGTTCTATTCCTACCTGCCCAGGTGGATACTCAACGTCACAAATTCGTCGAGACGCGAGCGTCTGTACCTCCTGGCGACGTTCAGCATCCATTCTGTGTTTCTAGAATTTGGGCGCCCAAGCTCGCTCGCAGCTACATTTCAAGCCTCACGCCAATCGACCTGAGAAGAACGTTCAATCCTGCGCCGAAAGTCACGGCGACGAGAAATGGCGATTTTCCATCTCTAGCGTGCGACATCGTGGGTGTGCAGGAATGCTCTTCTGAGAGAGTGCTACTTCACAAAACAAGGATCCGGGATGGATGGGGAGCGAAGGATTTCTCCCACGCATGTCCCGCAGGTACCTATGTGACCATGCTGTGTCGCACGTTTGCGGGAGATGAACAGATATCCTTTGAGGACACGTAGATACTGTGCAGGGTGTTTGCAGAAGGAAGCCAGGGAAGATCTTGAAGACACCATTTCGATTCATGTCATTTCTTTCATTGATCATGTCGGGTCATTTCAAACAAAGTGTTCACGCCACTTTCAGTCATCGAGGCTGTCCTTTCTACATATCGTGGCCCACGGCAGACCAGCTGCGCGGGAAGCAAAGGAAGCACAGAACGAATATACTCTCACAGGGACCAACTTAAGTCACCGCTGTAGCACAGTGTATCAAATCGGGACGCCCAACCCCGGCCCGGCAAGTCCCACGACCGGATTGAAATTCTGCCAAGCGCAATCCTGCGTGACAGCAAGCGGACCTTGCGCGAACTGTACGACCGTACCGTTGCGCATGACCGCGACTTCCGGCTTGACACCAACCGCATGATCGCCCAGATCAGTAGGAAACGGGATCGAGCCGATGGTCGGACCGAGCTTAGGATCAGCGAGGAAGGTCCAGCCTTTGTTCTTGCCAAGTGAAAGGCTGATGGTCGAAGGCTCCTTGACTAGCGCCCAAGCGAAGACGGCGTCGGCGGGGAGTTGGGAGTTGCGGACGGAGGAGCCAGGGGATGTCCCGCCGCGACAGACGGCGTCCTTGGGATGAACGCGGTACCAGAAGACGACGCGGTCTTTCGTGACACGAGGCGGGACGCCGGTCTTCCACCATGAGATGTAGAATTGTGCCATGAGGCGCCAGGGGCTGTGGTCGAAGCCGTAGATGTATTGGGCCATGGTGCCGAAGTCGGCGTAGTCGCTGCTGGTGATCTCTGGAGAGGAGAGATCGCGGATGTAGTGGGATTCGCAGAAGTCGTTCCAGGTGAGCAGCTCGATAATGTCGGGCAGGAAGGCGGGATTGGTGGTGTTGGAGGTTGTGTTGGAGGCTGGGTCGCCGAGGATTTGCTTGAAGCGGGTGGCGAAGAGTGTGTCGGACTTTTGGACCCAGGCGTCCATGTAATTGCCACTGTTGAGGTCTTTGAATTGCCAAGGCGAGAGCGCTGATGAGACATGTCAGCAAGATAACCCGACGGGTCTGTGGTGGGAAAAAGCACATGAACGTACCCATGATGTATGGTCCAGCACGACCAGCCTTCTTCAAAGCTGATTGGAAGGTGCGATCCGGCGTGACATTTAGATCGTTGGAAGTGTCAAGTGGCCAAGCCTGCCAATTGAAATATCCATCAATGGAAGGGTAGTCATTGACAAGCTTCGAAGCAGCCGCCTGAGCGTCTTTCTGGGCGCTGTATGAGTATCCGGTGAGCGCAGGTGCAAGAGTGATGGCGTTGGTAGATTTCATAGCATTCTTCAAGTCTTGGAAGAAGTCATTGCCGTATTGAGCGACTGAATCACCACCATATGTCGAGACGAGGATGTTGTTGTTCCAGCGAAAGGTAGCCGAGTTGCCAGCATACTTGTCAATCATGTGCTGCATGAAGGTCTGATTCCAGAATGTGGTACAAATGGTGTGACTCATGTCGAAGGAGAACATCAGCTTGAAGCCCTTCTTCTGAGCCACGCTGAAAGCATCGTCGATGCGGTAGAGCGTCCACTGCATATCCGGGCTGCAATCAGGAGCGTGCCAATTCAATGCGAAGCCATCAATCCCGATCTGCTGCGCTGCAGTGATGTCTTTGCTCCATTGCTCGAGGTTATAGGCGTACGCGTTGTCCATCATGAAATGAGCGAAAACGATTCGGGCATGGGTGATGTGAATCCACGCCAGCACCGTGAGCAGAATGGAAAGGAGAGATAGGCGCATTCTCAGTTGAGGTGAGGAGACGTCTGGAACGAATGACCCGAAACGAGTGAATGCGATATTTCTTACCAGCCAGCCAGGACCAGAGAAATTTCGTATTGGTGATCAGAGGCTCAGCCGAACCACGTCGAGCGAGAGTTCTCGTTTTGCAGAGGTTTCTCCGAAAGACCGACCGAGTGCTGGAAGGAGCCAAGATGCAGAGAATGGACGGCGACCGAGGAACCAGCGGCGGCGCCAAATGGTGAAGACCACGTTGAATGAGCGGATGTGTCGGCTGCTGGGCAAACGACGGTGAGGTGTTCAAGCGAAGGAATGTGGGTAGTTAGAGATGATTGTGTTGTGCGTGAGCGAAAAGAAAAGGGTCAGGTCAGATTCCAATTGAAGTTTGTGATCGCGACGCATTTGGTGAGCTCAGCATCAAAAGGGACTGCCGACAAGCAGCCTAAGCGCGCTGATGGGCTCAAACAGTAGCGTGTACACTTGCAATCTCGGCGTGTCAATGGGGAGGAGCTGCGTGTTTCACTTGATGATATCTGACTGTGCGGCCTTCCGACTGTCCCGTCACTCACGTCTCCGTCGTCGTGACCTCTCTCATCTTGATCTTCAGACTTTGCACTATCTGCCATGTTTCGACGACGAAGTTGATTACAGTCAGCAGGTTGTGATCAGCAGACCAAGATTCAATGAGGCAAATGACGACTGGAAGTGGTTGACGATGCAGGTCATGCGGTGGTCGCCGCGTTTCAGATGAGAGGAAGTGCATTGGCAGGAGCAGCTGACAGCGTTTCACGGGCGCTTGTGCGCTTGTTAGCTGAAGCTTCACGTTTTGGCCAGCATTTCCATTCAGTGGGACCACCTCGGAATCCAATTCAACCTTCAGCCTCATGTCTTCGCCCCACATGAGCGGCGGTTCTGCGGCGTGGTCTTACTCATCGTTACGCTGTTATGTTCCTGCCTGTGGTGATAATCATGGTCTGTTCCCGATCATCACAGCACGCGGGGAGCGTCATCACCATGTTACTGCCGACTAGATACTTGTGCTGCTGTATGATGAGGTGTTCATCTTCGTGCGGTTTTGATTGGACCGAAGAACTCCGTCTGTGGACAGAAAAACGTCGCGAAGGCTTCATCATCAATGGGATGTCGATAGGGAACGGAATAGGGAACGGAACCTTCAGTCGGGTTGGCTTAGGGTTGCCGTTATCGCTCTGCGACCTGGATTTCTTCGCTCGGCGACGTACAGCATGGTCTGCCCAGGTGTGCTTGTAGCTGCGGCTATACAATGAGAGGGATCATCTCAAGCAACGATTGGAGATGATAGAAAAGTCGCATGTTTTGGCGAGAGCTTCATAGCTTGTCATCTGTTCGTCAGCGCAGTTCCCCACATCCGCGCCCAAAAGGGGAACATCACTCGGCAGCTTGTCACTGCACTGAAGCTGGTGGAGGCTGTGCAAGGCATGCACGCTGCTCGATTGAAGATGGAGCTGACGCGGATGGAACGATGTCGCGCTGTAGATAAGATGCGCTGAAGGACGCCCACGTGCAGCTCTATTCCGTCAATTCTGTTCTTCACATCCGCATTTGATCAAGCACCCGGAAGACATCACCGAATCAGGCCAGCGGCATCCAGCTTTCACCCAGAGGCACGCGATCACATTCCAAGAAGCTGCAAGTCGTACTCCCACTCTGCCAGCGCCATGGCCGCCGTCGATCAAGCAACCTACGCCCTCCTCCAACCACCCAGCTTCGACGTGCTCCCCGACACCGACGTCAAGCTAGGCTCCATCCATCCCCGCACAAAGACATCTCCCTACCGCCCCGACACGAAGCGAATCCTGAACCGCTCCAGCAGAATCGACGTCCCGGAAGAACTTCTCCGCAAGAGCACCGATCCAAACGTCGTCCTCGACAGCGATAAATTACGCTCCGGTGGCGCGGGGATCAAGCTCCATCTTCCTTTCTTGCAGGGCGTTGGCGGAAACGTCTCTGGTCAAGGCTCGAATGCGTCGTTTGTTTATATCCATGCGAAGGACGTCGAGACGCAGTGGTTCCTACCTGATGATGCGTATTTCGAGAAGGCGCTGCAGGGCGTTGCGGTCAAGCAGCAGATCTTCAACGTCATGAGGCCTTCATTTTTCCTGGTCACGGGCGTCAAGATTGCGGAGAGCGCGGTCATCGTCACGGGCTATGCGAAAGATCGTGGAGGAGAAATCGGTCCTGAGATTGATTTGACGCCGTTGGGGATTCCGGTCGAGATTGGCGCGAGCATCAATGCCAGGCGCAAAGATCATCACATCGTTGTCGTCGAGAAGAAGGCGAGGTTCGTCCTTGCTTTCGAGACGAGGCGGATCAGGAAGAAGAGGCAAGGGTATGATGAGGAATCATATAACCGTGACGGGGTCCTCGACGATCAGCGTAAGCGACCGTCAACGAGTCTACTCGATGAGTTGGATTATGATGAAGCCGCCTATGAAGTGGATGATGCATGATGTAAACGGGATATACAATAGCGGAAATGTCAAATATGCCAGTCAGATCATTCGTCGTCGTCGTAATCTTCCATAAGCGTCATGATCGTGTGACAGATATGTCCCGACAGCATGCTCCGCTCGACAGCTCCCATCCCGTCCAGCAAGGACCAAGGCGTGACGACCTCATATTCATTCCTCTGAGTCGACATCTTCTCGAAGACCCTACGCATTCCCTCAAGCTCTTTGAGCTGTGATAGCGCACTCTCATATCTTTGCGCGGTCCAGCCCATTCTACGCACTTCGCCCTTGGAATCGCGCATGATCTGGATGATCAGTGCAGCCACACCTGCGGCCACGGCGGTCGCTTGAGAGGTGCCTGACCGTCGGACCTTTGCCGGCATCTGTGGAGTGAACCCTTCCAGCGCCACTCCGAGCAGCGCGAAATTGGAGGTGTTATCTTTCTTTGTTGGATTTCCATTGTACATATTGCCGAAACCGGTCGCCGCGTGGATGCAGAGGACGTTGGGATCCCGTGCCGGATATCGTACTTTTTCGGTACTGCCGTTATTACCAGCCGCGGCAAATAGTAGTACCTGGTGGTCATGAGCATATTTGATGGCTTCAGAGACAGCCTTGGATTTGATTACAAATCCAAAGGACATGGAGATGATGTCGACTTTCCATATATCGACGGCGTGTTTTATTGCCTGGTTTAGTCAGCGCAGCTCGCATCCTTCTGGTCAAGGATGAGAATGTGAAAACTTACTCGAGCGATTCTTGCAGCTATCTCTTGCCTTGATTTCTTACCACGTATGTCCTCTCGCGTCCGTGCGATGCGCCCAGAGTAGACTTTGCAATTAGTGCCGACATCCAGGACTATGCTGCACATGTGCGTGCCGTGCCCGTCCTCATCGCCATCGAACCGTAGTGGGGCTGGACTGTCAGCACCCACCTGTGATGGGATTGCGTCGTTCTCGAGAAAACAGTACGCCTCAGCTCGATCGTCGTAGAGATCGGCGATGTCGGCATCGAAATGCAAGCCTGTGTCGAGCACTGCGACCTTCGTCACGACCGCGTTCTGCGGCAGGATCAACCCTTTTAGCGGCAACAGTCTCTGATTCCAGAGGTCTGCTTCAGTAACTCTGAGTAATTCCAATCAGCACAATCGTTTTGTTATGGGCCTCACAAGACTTACTCTCTGCTTTCGATTGATTGCTCTTCTCCGGTGTCATCATTGAGGACGAATTCGATGTCCGGTATCACAGCATGATCCATTGGCTTCACTGCAGGACGCCCCATTTGTGCCAGTTCCGATGCGATGACAGCTTCCAGAGCGTCGTTCCGCGCATCACGGCGACGCTCATCATCGTTCATTGGTTCTCGTCGAGGAGTGACGTTCCGCTCGGGCAGTGAAAAGAGCATATTCGCATCGATCTGGTACGCCACGCGCAGAACGTACTCAAGGTTCTGTATGACGACTGTCAAGAATTCCATGCGCATCCGCTCGCTATTGCGAATGGTCTGATCGCAAGCTTTGGCGCGCAGCCGATCTTCCCCCTTGTATCCTGTGCACGCGATGATAGCGACGAGGATCCTGTCGACGTTGGCAAGATCGCTTTCGCACCGCAACTTCCTCAGGCTCTCTTCGAATGCGTTACCTTCCCAACTGCAGGACTCCCACAGGATGATTTCGAGAAGGAGTTTTCCGAATTGCACCAGGCTTGGCATGGAGGGATTCACGAACCCAAAGCGGACATCGGGTTGAAACTCCATGCAGGTAGAGAATGGAAGGAAAGGGGTGCTGAGCGGTGAGAGCGAGCTGCGTTCAGGTCCATCGAAGCGGATGAAGGCGTCCGTACGGGTATATGGCCACCAGGCTCCACCACTGAGATGTAGATACAGATGCGATAAAATCACAGCCAGACATAGCCGCTCCTTTGGCAAGGGTCGACTCTGCAGCCGCATTTCTAATTGATCGAATGTCATGGGCTGCATACAGCTGGCGCAGTTCGAGATGGTGTACCAGGGACGGTCAGCCGTGGATGCATTCAGATCTTGGCAAAACTCGTCGTAATTGGCGTTCCCGTGTTGTGCATACTTCATCAGCATGGCCGTTCTCTTCCAGCCACTGGAGTCATGCAGAACTGCAGACGATATGGTTCCGTCCTCGCGCGAACTGTATGGGTTGATCGCGAAATGGAGCGCTTCGTGGGGATTTGGGCAGCTGCACCTCCAGGCGCTGGACAATTGGCGATGTATATGTTCTACCCCTTTGCACATCTCCTCGACTTTCCGCCATGCAGCACGTTGCTCGGCAGATATCGAGGCAAACTCCTCATCTTCGAATGGTACCGCGTAAACAGGGAGGAGTTTCTCGATCTGCAAGGCACATGAAGCGACCGCGTCAAGCAGATTTGTTCGGACTTGTTCAGGTGGCGCTGCTAAGCGCGTGTTTTTGATTAACCATAAAAGTTTGTCCTCGTCGTGGCAACGACTGCGTGCTGCCCAATGGAGCATGTTCCCGAGTGTCCGCTCATGCTGCTTATCTCTCGAGAACCATGACCAAGAGATCAATCCAAATGCCCGTGAGCTCACAATGACTTCATCTTCGAATATGCTCAATGTCCTCGCCAGGGCTTGATGAAGTGTCTTGTCATTGGTCTTCGTCAGCCGCACAGGCACACGAAGTAATTCATGATGTAGCTTGCCAAGATATTGATAAAGAAACGTATGAAAGGGCCGGCGGGCATTCTGCTTGAGCGTGTCACGGGCCCTTACTGCTTCCACATTTTCGCTTGTCGCCCAGAAGCAGGCAACGTCGATCAAGTCGGGCAGAATCTCCTTCACCAAAGACGTTGCTCCTTCGATGGTTCGGTCAGAATCCGGCATTACGGCTTAGTAAGTGCTAGCTCGAAGATCGACCATTCCAAGGTTGGTACACAATGCTTATATCCCACGTGGCATTGCGTCGCGCGGGAGTGTATAAAAGTTATGACGAACAATGCCGATTTCAAATATGTCCACCAGACGACATATCGTCGCTGCTCACGAACGCACGTAGCATGATGTTTTTCGCGCGCGTGATCAGGAGACCTATGCATGCTCTATCCTCGGTGTCGTAAGTCGTGGCGCGTTGTTGCGGGCGACACACTCATTTGGGGACACAGGCAGGTCTCGGGCCGCGATGACATCCAGGCTATCGCCGGCATCATCTGAGCTCAACGGGACACTTCGAACTCACAGCTCTGCGTTGGGTGTCGATTCCTGGTTGTGCGCGAAATGCGCAAAGGACTCCTCGGCAGGCAGCTTAGCACACTGGGGACATCATCATGGCCGTTCAAGCGGTCGACTCGATCCTTATTGTGGCTCGACGCTGCAGTGACAGACTTACAGCAATAAGTGCACGAAAAGACCTGCCGCCAATCATTCTCAAATGGGCAGACGACCAAGCAGCTCGGTTGCGAGTATGGAATGCAGCGCTGGGGGTTTACGCTCGCGGTCGCATGTCTATCGCTTACCGGTTACGGCTGAACGCGCCAGTGGCCTCAATGATTCTTCAGCTTCTGGAAGGAGTCGAGAGCTGTCTCATTCCGTTGTTGGCCGAATTACTTCATCCCTTGCAAGATTCAAAAGCTTACGAAGCGTTGAATCGTCTAAATTCAGTGGAACGCAATGGCTCCATTGGCACGGCAGTACAGAAGATTGCATCATTATTGAACGATGCGAAGGCTAACCTCGATCTGCTTCTTGATATCGCCGCAGACATTCGTAAGCTCGGTACCCAGAAAGAGGAGCAGAGAGCCCTCAGATTCGATCCTGTTGATCATGAAGGCAATTCGTTGACACAAGATTTCAAGCAATATATTTTGATACAGTGTCGTTTACACCTCGTGCGGACCCGCGCTGCAATCATCGCACAGGACGAATCCGAGAGCAGTGAAATGGCCCATACGACGAGCGAAAGGATCTCTGGAATGGAGATTAGCAATGGAACGAGCCTTGCGAAGGATGAATTCATTCTTGGTCGTCTTCAGGCGACAATCCTACAGCGCTGGCGCCTCTTGTGCTATCGTGCTCACCATAGTCGTGTCCTCGCATATGATGGAGATAGCAAGAAGACCGCTTCTGAGGCAGAAGAACCTGAGGCAACAGGGCGGGTTGAAGAGGCTCCAGAGCAGATAGCGTCTGAGTCGAAGGGAAAGAGTCCAGTTGAGTCTACGGGCACTGTGGAGTCCTCGGCAGCTACGGAAATGACGGAAGGCCGATTGATTGCCAAACGACCTGTCGAGGAACAGACGGCAAAGTCTGTTTCGACCAGGAGCTCGGGTGTTGCGCTGAAAGAAGCAGATTTCCCTCGGCAGCCTCGAATCGTCGGCGAGGAGACTCTGTGTACTCTGTGCTGGATTCCGATGCCTGCGAAGGATCTTCAAGGAAGGAAGTGGCGGTCAGTTCTTGACAGATTCTCGACGCGCTTTGATAGCTAATGACTGCGTCTAGTTCTCATGTTCTCCGTGATCTTTCACCTTACATCTGCGTTTTCAGCGATTGCAACACCGCCGCGTACAGGTACAAGACCACGAAGCTTCTTCGACAGCACATGAATGATGCACACTGCGATGTACGTTGGGCATGTCCTCGGTGCGAGACATCCTTGGAAGATCACAAGAATTTTGACGATTCTGCTCTGTTCGCGAAACATCTCAAGGACGTCCACAAGCAATCAATATCAGAGTCAGATATGCAATTCATACTTGAGCATGCGGTTGAGCGAACACCTCATTCACTCCAAGCATGCGTTTTCTGCAACGGCCATGGTCGTGATGAACAAGCCACAGTCATAGAACATTGGGACGAGTTGTTCACCCATATGACGCGCGACCACATGCAATCTTTGGCCATGTTATCTCTTCCTTGGGACCTCGACGTGTCGGACAGAGCAAGCGATACAAGACAATCAGGCGTCGAGAGCAGCATTGAGCGAATGGAAGAGGAAATCGAGTCCGAAGCTGATGAAGTGCCCCGTGATCAAGGGATCGTTATCGGGATGAACGATATCGTAGCAGGAAGTGCTTATCAACCTCGTTCGGCGCAAAAGTGGCTGGACGAGGTCGTCGATGATCGGCTTGAGGGCATGGAGTCCAGCGAGATGACAGAATTTGTTGGCGATTTGATGCAGGACTTAGATCGAGTTGCGGAGAACCAGACTGTGCCAGATGCTGATCTCAATGTACCCGTCGTACGGCTTCGACCGACTGACGCTGGATATCAGGAACAGAGAAATTTCGAACTATCACTGTACAATGCGGCCGACAAAAACAACACGAAGAAGGTGAAGAGTATCTTAGAGTCCAGACTCAGCATCGGCGGCAAGTTGCCCTTTTTGGGGGAGGCACTTCAAGCAGCATCTCACGGCGGATCCGAGGAAATCGTGCGAATTCTGCTCGACGCCGGGGCGAGCCCCAACGTTGAAGGGCGCGCATATGGCAATCCTCTTCAAGCAGCAGCAGCAACTTCGAGCAAGAGCGCGTCAATCGTACGAATGCTTCTAGACGCCGGCGCTGATGTCAACGCTAAAGGCGGGCTGTATGGCAGTGCGCTCCAAGCGGCATCTTACAGCGGATCTACACCGGTAGTGCGAATGCTCCTAGACGCCGGAGCAGACGTCAATTTCACAGGAGGCATATATCACACCGCGCTTCAAGCAGCAGCGGCCGAAGGCCGGATCGAAATCGTCAAACTATTACTCAACAAAGGCGCTGATATCAACGCCCGTGGAGAGAGATATGGCAACGCACTTGAATCCGCAAGATCGGGAGGACACACTTCCACTGAGGAATTGCTGCTTGAGAGGGGTGCGACCGATTTCAAGAGAATGCGAACCTGGCAAACCAATCCATTCCGTCCGAAAAGCTCACTTGAGACGGATTATGATTCATTTGAGGCCCAAGCAGGCATCCTGCATGCAGAGTCTGGCCAGAGTCAATCCCAGACAAGTCGACTCGTTGCAGGGTCAGATTTGAATCAACGCAAACCAGAGAGCATACGGAAAGTGTACAATCCGAAGAAAAGCGCGCGTCGGGTAGCATGGGAAGTCGTCAAACCTGATCGTGATGATCCTGCGCCATGATGATGTCGATGACAATCGATGTGCGGGACTCGACGCTTTGAGAGAAACACCGAGCCATTTACTAGACTCCGCCTTCGGCTATGCCACAATTTCAATTTTCCCTCGACAAATAGTTGTCGCGGAGCTTCAGAAACGATTATCTGAGGAGAATAACAATAGTGCCAGGCTGTGTCGCGCCCATAAGCCCAGCAATCCGACCGTCAATTGCATCAAGAGAATCTCCGTCGCCAAGCGATCCTCGCGCAACGGTCCCCTCCACACGAGCCAAAGGTTGATAATGGTCAAATTGCTCGTCTCAATCACTCTACCCTTCTCATCGACACGAACATTCACAAGTCGAAGCTTATGCAAAATCTTGAGCACCTCTCCAACCAGCACTTTTGCCGGTTTATCCTCCGTGTACTTCGCGACCGAAGGTTCCAGCAAACCCGTCCGCGCATTGAAATGCGGGAGGCGATGTCTCGGGCATGGCACGAGGCCGAAAAGCTGCGGCGCCGAATAGACGAAATTGAACACTTGCGGGATGAACAGCAGGAGTAAAGTCTTGCTAAAATGACCCAGGATTCCGACGACGGCGAAAACCATGCCTGCGAAGTAGCAGTACGTGTCGCCGACGAAGACTTTGGCTGGGTACCAATTGTGCCAGAGCAAAGCGAGGCTCACGCCGATAAGCGGAAGGAGGAGGTAGAGACTGAAGAGATGTGAGTCGGCGGCAGGGTGTGGTTGTGTGACGGGTCCGCCGATGTTTTTGGGCAGGAGGTATAATGCGTCATTGAAGGCGATGAGGATCGCGATGACCAGGCTTTGACCGACTTCGATTCCGTTGATGCCGGCGACGATGTTGATACTGTTGGGGCAGAAAATCGCTACGCCTGCCATGTAGACGTAGTAGAGGGCGCCGAGATCGATGAGCTCACTGCTGCCCGCAGGAAGGTAGTTGAGAAGGAATCGCGGGACGGTGACGTGGGTGACGCCGAAGTCGACAAAGTACAGACCAAGCATCGGAAGTGCGGCGAAGGCTGGAATGAAAAACTTGTGGCGCCAGCGCATGTCGAAGGAGTCATCGAGGATGCCGAGGATGATTGTGGAAGTCAGGGTGCCGTAAGCGAAGCCATAAGACGCAAGCTTTTTCGACAGAAAATATCAGAACAAGACAGCTTCATATCCATAGTCGGACCGCGAATCGGCTACCGATCATTCAGCATCGGCGCAGACTTACCTTCTCAAGCGGAAAGCGATGCAGGAACCGTCCGCCTTCGACATCTGGCGCGTGAATCACGTAGTCCTTGTTCCCGCCGCCGCTAGTGACCTCGACAATATCGCGCTTGAATGCGAATGGAAGGAAGTTGATGAGGGCGAGAAGGTATACCAACGCGGAGATCAACCCCATCATTTCAGGGCTGTTGAATGCGTTGTCAGCATGGAGACACACGGTTCTTTCGCGTGAGAGATCTGAGGGCATGGTGAAATCGTATAGTTCACTCCATTGATTCTCTAATCGTGCCCGAATGCTCGCATGCAGTACTATGAATCGACTTACATCTCCACAGGGTTCTTCTTGGACATGTCCCTCCCCTTATAACCTCTTTTGAGGAAGACATCGCCGGTCCATAGAATGAGTGCGTAGGAGAAGGCAAACGCGAGACCACTTATCGCCAACGACGCATATAGCGGCTCGCCATCGTTTCTCCAGGTGTCGACCAGGACCGCGATGCACGCGAGGGAAATGGCCGACAGCGTCAGCTTCTCCGCTGGACGAATATCGCGCATCTTGTAGTATATTATCTCGAGATTTCAAAGTCCAGAAATCTTGACCATTTACGATTCCGGGCTGAGTACTCTCTATTGTGACAGAGACATCGTGTATACTTGGAAAATTTGTCTATTTCGTGTCTGTTGTCGCGAAGACACCTGGCGACAATTCGTGGTGGCTGACATAGCTCGTCCTGTTCTTCTTCCAATGGCTGCAAGTGGAGTACGCGCGTGGAGGCCTGCCGAGGCTAGCCTGATTTGGCGATATTGTGCATGCGAGGTCGACCTCATGTGATGCACAAGCGCGTAAAGAACAGTCTTTCGGGGCTCTTTTAGAACTTCACAATACAAGTTGGAGAGATATAAGCAAGAGCATCACTGTATGGATTTGCTCGAAGATGTAAATGCACAAGTACAACTCAAATTCCAAGCTACAACGATAATGTCAACGAAACTTGCAGAATCATGACATTCGACCTCCCACCAAGCGTCTGATAAGGAACTTCCAAGAGCGAAAGAAAATCGATACAAGAAATCATGGCCTCACATCACAACTCTCACGCCTCGCATTCAGCGAACAACAACGACTCTCCAACAACCTTCCACCACTTCCCTCACGGCCACCAAGACCTCCTCCTCGCCGCCGCGTACAACTTCTATGGAACGCGTCTAGCCACGGCCTCGGCGGATCACAAAATCAAAATCTGGGACCGAACACCCTCAAATCCCCAAGTACCAACAACAACATCCACAGACCCCTCAATACCCACCATCTCATCATCTCCAGCAACCTGGACTCTCACCACAACCTTCCCCGCTCACGACGCCGAAGTCACGGGCCTCTGCTGGAACGGGCCCTACACCGGCGAACATCTCGCGTCCATCGGCGAAGACGGGCAGGTGAAAATCTGGGCGGAGGACCCCACGGAACCGATTTCCAGCACGCGACGGTTTCGACGCGTGTGGCAGCAGCGGAGTTCGACGGGCGTGCCCTTCGTCGGACTAGGGTTCAAGTATTCCGGCGTAGACACAGTCCTAGCGCTGACGACTCGCGATGGCTATCTCACCGTCTGGGAACCGAACGATGATGCTGGAGGAGGCGCCGGGGCAAATGCTGGAGGAGGGGAGGACGACGGCGATGATCTTTCCTCGTGGAAATTGTGGTACGAGGACCATCTCTGCGCTACACCCCCGCGGACGGAGGAGACGGCTTTCCGCCTGTGCTGGCATGCGGAGAAATTACCTCCCTGGCCCGCGATTCTGGCGGGCTTGGATCGGAGGAGCATTGGATTCGCGGTGGCGGTGGGGAATAGCGTGAGGATCTACCGGACGGACAAGGAGAGGAAATTCTATGTTGCGGCGACGCTGGAGGGGGCGGGTGGTTTGGTGAGGGATGTGGCGTGGGCGAACGGGAGCATGAGGGGATTTGATCTGATTGCGACCGCGAGCAGGGATGGGTTTGTGAGGATTTATGAACTGCACACTCCCGCGACGGCCAATGCTTCTATGACAACGACAACAGCGGCGGCGAATACCGACTCAGCAAGCCACCACCACCACCAACAAACGTCACAACCCACCCTCCCCTCCCCCCAGACCCCGACCTTCAACACCGGCGGCACCACCGCCGTCAAACCGCACCACCCCCCAACAACAACACGCTCCTCCGTCCTGCGCTCCCAACTCCTCGGCGGCCGCGACGGGAAACGCGACCCCTCCTCCCGCGGCCCAGGCGCGATTCTTCAAGAAGTAAAACTCATCGCGGAATTAGACGCGCATGAAGGCGCGCCCTGGAGGGTGGCGTGGTCGCCGCTGGGCGAGATCCTGGTGTCGACGGGGGACGACGGGGTCGTGCGGTTGTGGAGGAGGAGCGTGGAGGGGAGGTGGCTGGAGAGCGTGGAGGTGGATCTCACGGGGTGAAGAAGAGGGGGGTGTGTGTGCTTTGGGGCGGTGGGGGATCCCAATGCTCAGGTACGCCGTGATTTGAAAGTTCAAGGAGGGAATAGTCGCGAGCGGGCGCGGCAGGTCCATTGCGATATCTCCCCCAGAGAGATGGTTTGACAGGGCGCTCTTCTATTATTATTGTTGGTGTCTTGCCGAGCAATTTTCTATTCTATGCCAAGCAGCTCAGTCCTTCCAAGAGGAGAGTTTTTCTCTTCGTCCTCTTCTATCACCCAAAATGATGCATCCCTGAAGCGCACCAGCAGGACGACGACCCAAAACATCTCGAAGAAAAACATCTCGAAGAATGTCAGTCCCCAAGATAAAGCAATAACCGGTGCTCGCCCAACGCCGCTGCTATGCGAAAAAGAACCAATGCAGAGAGAGGGCGCGCCCAAATCGTGACATATGTACAGAATCGTAAATCGCAGGAAAAGCCCAAGGAACCCTGACGCGCCTGGAAAACGCCACGCCAGAAAAGGACAAGGTCGACCGGAAAGAAAGCGCGGCTCACGGCATTGCATCCCAGGAGACCAAAAGAGAAAAACTCCGGAATTCCGGTTTCTATGTAGATCGTCGTAATTCGTGATGGAGTCGTCGTGATCGGACCGCCTCGGGCGGAGTAGGCGGGGGGGTCATAATCTCGAAACTTTACCGGACCGCACACAGCTGGCGGAAGAGGGCTCTTTCTCTCATGCGGGGCTCCGTGGTCGCCCCGTGGATCTTGATGTTGAAAGAAAGAGAGCAGTGGAGATTTCGTTCACATCTCGGGCAAAGCGAGATGTTCCCGCTTTGTCTGGGGGATCGTTTGCCTTTTGCTCATGCCCCGGTGGCGGGATTTCATGCCCTCCGCTCCGAGAGGAGTATCCCTGGGCGACAAATGTGACGTTCTATTCCATGGAAATCGTTTTTGCCCGTTTTGCTCCACAGGAGAGAAAGTCTCTCATTCCAGCCCCGTCATCATCCTCTTCCTCATACTAGTGTTGACCACGCCGCCGAACCCGAACGCAGGGACAATCCTACACATCCGCGCAAGACTGCTCTTGCCCCAATCCGCGCCGACTTTCCTCAGACGATCCGCGACCGAAACCTTCCCCTCGCCGGGCCGGTTGTACAGGTCCAGACCGTAGAGATGGCAGGGCGTGCTGATGAGTTGCACGGCGGCGGGCGCGAGGAACTGCGCGGCCGAGGCGCGGGAGATGTACGATTCGGCGGCGGCGTTGAGCGGCAGGGCGGGCGCGATGAGGGGGGGCAGGTTGAAGGAGGCGTAGACGGTCATGCAGTCGCGGAAGGCGAAGAGGGCGTAGGACAGCGGGGGCACCGGACGGGCGGAGGTCGCGGTGCCGAACATCTTGGTGAACTGGCTGTCTTTGATCATGGTGAGGGTGAGGTTGGCGGTCGAGGTGGCGAGGAATTTCGAGGGCCCGTGGGTCACGGTGCTGGCGCGGTCGGGGTGGGTGACGGTGGATTGGAAGGTGTCGAGCGTGTTCGCGGTGAGGTAGGTTCCGCCGTAGACCATGAAGATCAGCGCGAAGGGCTTGGAGAGGATGTAGGTGTGTGGGCGCAGAAGCATGGTTTTGAGCGAGGATCTGATGGAGGCCATGAGGGCGCGTTTGCCCGAGGCATTTTCGATGATGGCTCTGTGGAGAGTGGTTAGTCGGGGATGTCACTTTTTCGTGTTTTCCTCTGTCTTGTGCGCGACCAATGCCTTCTCTTTTGAATCCATTGATATCGAATGCCTTCCTCTTCTCATCGATACCCCGTATACATCCCGTCTCATTTCCCCATGGAGAAGACTCACTTATCGATCATGCTCACGATCGGCGCAACCAACCCACCGGCGGTCGCAGCAGACATGGCATCAACGGCAACCCGCTGTCCCAAATTCTTCATGTTCCATCCCTTCTGCTGTGTCGACGCTCCTGCAGCCAATGGCGCCGGCGCGGATGCAGATTTATCGTCGGAGGTCATATTGGCAGCGTTACTGGCGAGAGTCGCGGCGGCGGCAGCAACGGCGACGACCTTGACTGTGGAGCTCTCGGCGATAGTGGCAGTCGGACCTCCACCGATCACGACCATCCCTGTTCGAAGCTGTTTTCGATTCCTTTCTCTCGGGTTTTCGCACGGGTCCGCGAGTGATGATGTTGTGTATCCGTGAAGCTCTTCCGCTGACTCTGGATTCTTCTCTACGGATGTACTTTCTGGCGCGCGTGAAACAGCGGTGACGACGAAGACGAACGCGACGATCAAAGGGACGACAAGAGCGGAGCGGATTAGAGGAAAGGTCGGGAACGGAGATGAGGAGGAGGAGGAGGAGGAGGCAGGACGGCAAAGACAGCAAAGGCACGATGATCCTACACCACAGTCATTGATTTCCGGGCGATTGACCACAATATGGAGTAGTATTGCGCGCGCGGTGCAGGTGGTTTGCGCTACATAAATCCGGAGCTTACCTAGATGGTTATTTCTGCAGGAATTCAGCTCCCGTGACCGGCGGATTTAGAGTCCGGCATTGAAATTAGCCCCGATGCGATTGGCGAAAGCGCCCCAAATCCACCTAAATTCCACCTAAAATGCCCCCCCGAATGGTTCCCACCCACACAAACACACACGCACATCCACACACAAAGAGCAATGCCGTGGGGGATCTCTTCGATGTGAAGAAGACATTGTTACAGATTGATGATACAGCACACGTATCGTTGAATGTGTGATATGTCTAGATTGAAAAGAGGCATTTGAGTGAATGGGTCCATCTTTCTCTCTCTCATCACTCCCAACGAGCTTCTCCTCGGCGATGACGCCGAAGCGCCCCATTATTATTTAGCGGAGTAAGAGAAGAGGAGGAGAAAAAATGGCGCATCGGCTGCCCATGGTACAGTAAAGCGAGGAGATGCACTTACTTGTCCAGCCACCGCCAAAACGATAAGCACCATCTCACATCATGCATAGCTCGAGGGATGAATATCGCTCATGAGACTCTCTCCATCTGTCTCTATCTCTCTATCGCGCGCAGTGGACCATATCGCATATCACAGCCATGAGACAATCCGATCCTCCAAAAGACCCGGGAGAAAGGCATCGAGGGAGACGGCGCCATTGGTAACCCTAAGGCAACTTGACGATCGAATAATGTGGAGACAGACAAACCAAGCAGTCATCGATGTATCGATGATTATTCTCCGACTCATCTTCGACATGCGCTCGTTAGATGCTGACGATGAGGAGTAGAGAGGAATACCTGATCGAACTCATACTTCCTTGAACAATGTGAGGAGAAAGACATCACGGCAACAATCCACAACGACAGCGAAGAGCGAGTTTTGGTGTACTCAAAAGTTGCCACATCTATTCCTTTCCAAACAATGGCTGGGAAAGGGCGCACGATGATAATAAGACGAAATTGAGGATCAGTCCCCATCGAACCAGGGCAGACGACATGTATCTTCCACATCGTCTCCCAAAATCCCAGCAGCATCCGAGAATCTCCCAAAAGGAGAGAAAAAAAAACGCCAATCCCCATCATACACGTAACCGTCTCGATCATGAAACCAAATCCCAAATCCATCTACCTCCTCCCCACCGCACTCCCGATGCTGCTCCCCGCCGAGCTCATCTTCCCTCCGACCCACTTCTTCGTGCCGAGCGCCCACTTGGGCGTCGAGAATCTCTCCCAGAGCGTTAACCCGCCGACCTTGCGCCCCGCGACCGTGGCGCCCGCGAGGGGATCGACGTGGTCGCGTCTCTGCAGCCACTTCAGGCGGGCCTCCATGATGGAATGGACCATGTTGATGATCAGGAAGGCGGTGGAGCCGAGGGCGCGGAACAGCGCGAGGAAGGCCACGCTCCACAGGATGAACTTCAGGTAGAAGTTGTCGGCCACGGGGGTGGAGCCGTAGATCTCGCTGACGCCCATCGCCAGCACCGCGTTGGACACCATCCACACGATCACCACGTACGTGCGCACCGCGCGGTAGTAGTCCTCCTGCTGCTGGGAGGCCGCGATCGGCGGCACCGGCACCTCGACGCGGTCGCGCAGGTTCCGGAGCGCCTCGTCGTAGCCGGAGTCGATGTCGAGCTGCTCCGACGGCATCTCGAGTTCGACCTTGGAGCCGTCCTTGCTGGCGGCTTTGGCCGCGCCGAGGTCCTTGTTCATGACGTTGTCGCCCTTGGTGCCCCAGGTGACGTCGTGGGCGTTGCAGAAGGCGTAGACTTGCAGCGTGCAGATGTACGAGGGCAGCAGGGCGAAGTATTGGCCGGCGCTGGTGAACATGTGCCACGGGTCCAGGTAGAGGAAGGACATGAGGAAGTAGAGGCCCACGGTGGACAGCGTGGAGACGATGAGGTTGGTGAAGATGTTGGACCCGAAATGCACGTTTTCCGTCTGCGAGGGGCCGAACTGCCGCACGATGATGTAGATGGTGGCGAAGGTGTTGTAGGCCATGATGATGCTGAAGACGACGAGCGAGGCGGTGAACATGCGCTTCGCCCCCTGCGGTCGGTTGCCCATGGAGAGGATGAACTGCATCATGATGGTGAGCACGCAGACGTAGCGGAGGATGATGAAGATGGCGGCGCCGATGTGGTGGCCGAAGGGGTCGACCAGGGGATCGGCGAGGCTGCCCGCGATGAAGTAGAAGGCCAGGTAGAAGTTTCCGAGCGAGAAGAAGGTGAAGATGAGCTGGACGAGCTGGTAGATGAATTCGACGTGGAGGAGGATCTTCCGCGCGATGGAGTGGTCGGTGGTCCAGATCTGTCGGAAATGCAGGAGCGAGTAGACGGCGGCGAAGAAGGCTCCGTTCAGCCAACGGCGACGCTGGGAGATGAATTCGGGGATCGCGTCGGGGACATCGGTCTCTCCGGTCGCGTTGCGGACGTACTTGAGCACCCACTTCTCGTTGCGTTTGGCGACCAACTCCCAACAGAGGATACGATCCTCGGCGAGGTACATGTTGGCTGTGAAGACATCCGCGTCTTGACCGTGGAGTGTCTCTCCCTTGAAGTACTGGCTTAGAGGTCCGTGGCCGTTCTCATCGTTCTGTAAGGCGTGGTATCGGTATGCACTCAACGCACCAGGCAAGACGGTGATGTATCCGAATACCGACTCGAGCGGCTTGTCGAGGATGTTACTCATCTTGTACTCGAAATTCTGGCTGGCGACCAATGGATTCAAAAGTTGCATCCAAGCTTTACCCTTGGCCGCCACGATCTCTCCGGCTGCACCAGCAACATTACTGTCACGATCAAACGCCTTCCACAGGTGATACAGCGAGTCGTCGCCAGGCTTGGTTCCGACATCGAGCAGAATGCAAACATTCGGGTTCAGCGCCTGACCGAACGCATTGAAGAACCATCGATGACTATTCAACTTCTTCGCGTTCTTTTCCTTGAGACAGAAGATCATCTGGCACGGCACGATGCCCTTCTCGGCGCCCTTGAATTTCAAGTCGGCGTCCAAGCTCACCTGTGTGGTGTACTCGTACACGTGCGCCGTGACTTCGCGCGCGTTGACCGAGTTCTTCGCGATACCGGATTGATAGCAACCCATGGCGGCCAGGGCGTCAAGAGTGCGAGGGTGCACTTTGGCGCGACCGTCGGAGATGATGCAGACGACGATCTTCTGCCAGCCTTCTTTGCCCCAGGTGCGACTCTTGGCGCGGCTGCAGAAGTGGGCGATGTTGCGCATGACGCCATGCATGGTGCGGGTGAAGTCGATCTCGTTCTCGTTGTACATGGTGATGCAGATGAACAACTCCGTCTCGCGCGAGGTGGTGCCGATGTTCTGACGCAGCTTGTATCCGCGGCTGACGAAGTCGTCGGGGTCGCAGGTCACGGCGGTGTAGCGCATGTGGGTGAACTCGACATCGTCCCGGCGAGGGAGGAAACTGTAGAGGATGGTGGGGATTTTACACTCGAGAATCAGTTCACCGTTGATCAGGCGGACTTCTTTGGTGGCCATCTGTGCCTGGCGGACGCCACGACGGGCTTGCTTGCCTGTGGGTGCCGGTCCATAAAGAGAGCCGCTGTCGACGTCGGTTTGCTCATCCATGTCGTCCTTTTCATCGTAGTGGTCTTCCGCGAGCGTGGCTTCGGACACGAAACTATCGCGTTCGTGCAGCTCGCGAGTAAGAGTTCCTGCGGTGGAAGGTCCAAAGACATCATCTGCATTGGTGGTCGCATCATCGTCGATGGGAATGGATGTCATTTCGGGCTCTCTATCCATATCGTGAGACGATCGCGACAGAGGTCGAGTCGCAGCAAACAATGGTGCCGGAGGCAGAGGACGTTTCGGGGAACCACCTCCGTATTGAGAGGAAGGAGTGCCCGGTCGTGGGACGCCATTAATATCAGCAGGCTCATATTGAATCGTGGGCGCCCTTGGACGAGCATAGTCCGCGACAGAAGTTCGCGAAGGGGAGTACGGCCGCGTGGGAGATTGTGATGCTCGTGAAGAAGGGCGGTACAAGGGACTGTAGGCCGAACCATCACGACTCGGAGGCGGAATTTGAGGCGCGTCACCGAGCACAGAGGTGTGCCGTGACAACGGTGGAGCGGATGGCTGATACGAGCGCTGTAGAGGGCTCGGAGGCAAACCGCCACGGATGGGCGATGTTGACGGGCTCATGTCTTCTGTGCTATCCTTGGTCTTGAATTTTCCTCGAAAGTGACGCGTGCGAGGTTCACCAGACCGCGGCGGGCTGCCAGTAGAGATCTCATCTTGGACCTCTTGTAGTAGACTGCTCATCTCTTCATGCACCGGTTCCGGTTGAAGGCGGACCGAAGGTGTGGGTGAATATGTGGGAAGAGAGTCGCTGCTCTTGTTGCTCGCATTCAGCGCGTTCAATCGATCTTGTGCTCGTAGAAAGAGCTCTTGTGGCGTGGGTTTCTTGCGCGGATCTGAGGCTGCGCTGGGTGAGATTGAAGGAGCATATGAGTCTTCACTCGAGTTGGTGAGCAGGCGCATCGATGCGCCGGCATTGTTTGGGTGGTTCGATGCAGAATCGTCATCTCCACCAGGATAACCTGGCGGCGGTCCATATGAACTGTGTCCAGACATCTTTCCGACGATCGAGGTCGTAGCTGTTTGGAGGATTTAACTTGAGCGCTGATGTGGTTTGTCTTCTTTGACTATGAATCCATGTTGCACACGAGCGAATGGATGATGTGCTATCCGTTCAGTGTAGTAATAGCTTGTGAGAGGTCAGTGATGGTAGGTGAATGAACCAGAGCAGCGACGGCGAGTAGTAACAGTAGCGATGCAACGATAATAATGCTGGATGACACAATGTATGTGTATGTATGGTGGGAGGGCTATACAAGCGCCGCATGTACGCATTGGGGTTATGATGATACAATGCGCTTTGCGTAAATAGAAATCGTGGTCGACCCAGCAACGGCGTTGGAACCTCCCGCCGCAGCCGTAACCGCTAATTGGTGGGATCTGCACGCTGCGCTGACTTCAGCACCGATAATGGGTGCGTCGCCATGGACCTTTCCAACGTCAAGTGGACAATACACTGTTGCAGCTGTACATATTACACTGTAATAACCTTGGAATGCGGCGGTCGCTTGATTTCTGACTTTTCCTTGATGGCGACGAGGGTAAATAGATCGACATGGTCAAGAGAGACAGTGTTGTCGATCATCGCGGTCTATCCTCACTGTCCCATTTTCACCATCACTACCTCTGCTCCATTCAAAGCATGCTTACTCTGCTATGTATTATCGGAGCATCGCCAACCAGACATTGATATTCGCGAGACCAGCAATTGAGTCGCTGACATCCAATGCCGGCTTTTCGACGGGTTCTCTCCAACATCCGTTATGCACGTTGGGGAAACACAAGCCGCAACGGGACTGTCAAAACAACCCCAAAGGCTGTGGACGTTTGAGGGTGCGCAGGGAAGAAGAAAACAACAGAATAGCACTTTCCCGATTCACCATTGAACGCTCCTCGCTGGAGACCCTCTGCGATACATGTCATCGATCAATAAGTACCTGAGATGCTAGGCGGAATGCGTGGTGATAAACAAGTGCAGAAGAGTCGGGATGTAGACCAGCATTCGAATGGATTGTCTGACTGCACTGCAGAAGCAGGAGTGTTATATATTGTCGTTACAGGACTGAGACCTGTCCGGTCAGTACTAAGATAGACGCCCAGATGTGCCTCGCAGGCGACGTGATCGTAGAGGAGAAGGCACGAATGTAGCAGGTATCATCGTACCCTCCCGGACCGTATACTGCGCAGTGTACGTGAATTTCTTTCTCCGGTGGAGAGCGCCAGAATCTATGCGGATTCGATCTCGCCGTGCACGGACACGGCAAGGTGAGCCGAGACTTCGCCCGGATGTTCACCACGAGATGCGAATCAGGCACATCTCGACGCGTGCTGGGCGAGACTTTCCCAACGGCACCACGCACCGCTCATGTGTGCTGCAGCAGGCAGAGCGACACTCACCACGAGTCAACGCGGCGGCGAACTGATGATTGCGACCGAGAATGCTGTATATGCAGACATTTCAGCATCCGCCGCTCCGCTCGGGCGGGCTCTGGCTCTAGTCCACCACCATCTGTGCGCTGTCCACGCCTGAGATCGATTCCAGCGAGCCAGAGGGGAAAGATGGCCACCAGACCGCTGTCAGAGCGTGGCTGCGAGGGTGTTCAGTCTCGCTAATAGATACCTCAACTCGATGCCCATTGCCAACCGAAACATTTTCCGGTGTCGGACTCGACGCAAGACGCGGCATTTCAGCTCATTCGCGCTATGTATGCAACCCACGCGTGCGTGGTGGATAGGGACGACATGCAGCCCAAATTAGCTTCGAGATGCCTGGAGATGTACAGAAAGCATCACACCACCACCCATGTGCCAAAACGCACACATACGCATACAGTACATACATCTATGCATTGATCGCCCACACACGCACGCCATTCCCGTGGACATCATTGGCGGTATCCAGCACGCATTATGTGGTCCCATGAAGCCAAGCGCACTGCACTCCGGCCCTCACTCCGGATGCGCTGCCATGCTTGCTTCTCGTGCTATTCTCATCCTTGGAACTCCAGAAATCTCCCTCGGGGAATCGGGCTCGTTATTTCATTAGCGGGCTGCAGCGACACGTGTGCCCCGTAAGCGAGGCTTTGTTTAAACGACTAGCGTGGGCAATTCCAACACCAGAACGCGGCCGTCCACCGATCAGCCCTACCGTTCTGGGCCAAATCCATCTCGCTTCAATCGTGACCATGGATCCATTCGGGCAAGGTCTTCTCGATGGGTGCGCCACCACGTCGGCCATGTCCTAGGCGCATGGTTTGCACACAATTCAAAGCAAACACCAGGAGATTTCTCATCGCCTAGATCTCATAGACAAGCTTTCTCTTTCTGGACGAGGCTCATTCCCAAGCGGCGACAAAGTACGATGCATCGCAGGTACCTTTTATGCCATGGCGTCGACCACCCATCCCTGTTCATGTCTGCCTACCTAGGTAGATATCAATACATATAGTCTGTCGCCTCCACGAGCGTCCTCACTCTCCCTAAACGTCTCCTTCAACTCCTGCCTGTTTCCACTCGGATTGACAGTCTCGCGTCATCTGCAGCACCATGTCTTCCGTCTACTTTGCTCTCTTTGCGTCTCTGCCGCTCGTCCTTGGCGGCGCCCACGTTCCTTTGTTATCAGGTTCCGGGTCTATATCCATTTCGATCGGATCCAACAGCGCGACCACCGCGGCCTCTTATCCGACATCTAACAAGCAATGTGTTCGCGACAGCTGTGCTCGTCAGGTCGTGGATGGCTTGAAACAATATCAAGCTCCCGCAAGATCGTCTGATTGCGCCGCCCTCTTCAAGCCCGTCACAGTGACACCTTCAGCTGTTACCAAAACCGTTACAAGGTTGGCTACGCCTGCTACGACTACATTGACCTCCTCCGTGTCGACTGCGACAATTATCAGCTCTACTACTACCACCACTACTACTGATCAAACCATCACGAGCACTGCCGTCGTCGTGTCTACCGACTTGACAACCGTGATCACCACCACTGCGGTAACCACAACTGCAACCACATCCGCGGCTGGCGCTGCTGGCGGCCCTTCCAAGCGAGGCGAGACCCAAACGAAACCACCACAATGGGCTTGCGACTGTTCCGATCTCGCGCGGTTCTCTAGCGCATGCGCCTGCGCCGGATTCCAGCCTCGAACTGTGACTGCCTCTGCACCGACCGTCATCTTGACTGTAGATGCCGTGACCCCGACTTCTACCATTTACGCAGTGGGCCAGACCACCGTGGGAGCCACCGGTAAGATTCTCTCGAAATATCCCTTGACCGTATGCACAGCTGACCGAAGGACGTACCAGCTACATCGACCGTCCACACTGATGTAACGAACATCGTCACCTCCACTTCCACCACCCAAACGACAACATCGACTACCACCACAGAGACTTCTACCACAACCACCACGATCCAAGCAGCTCCCACCGGAGCCGCCTACTGTGCGAGTGGACGTCTCGTAGACGGAACCCGAAGCGGCTACAACGGAGCACCCGCCTCGATGTAAGTCGGCACAATCCCCCGTACCTACACATATCAATCCACCCTGATATACTAACCATCTATCGCATTTACAACAGAGGAAACCTCCGCATCGAAGGCAGAGACAGCACAGTCTACGAAGGCCCCATCCTCTCCGGACCCCGAAATGTCACGACTCCCTCGGGCGGCACCCACCTCTGTGATGCGACCAACAACAATGCCAACCCAAACCCCAGCAGCAACGGCATCAGCATCCTCGTCGATGCCGCAAACCTCTGCGAATTCCCTCTCGATGGAAGCTACAGCAACCAATTCGAAGATTTCTTCATCACGAAAATCGGCGATTCGGACTCCAACGCTTCGGGAAACCAATTCTGGTAAGTGTTCGGCAAAAGCAAACAGGAAAGATATCAGCATTCCCATGACCCCTCCACCTTCACAAGCAACACCAGCCCTTTCCCTCGCATCCTCACCACCACCGCCACCACCACCATCACCATCACCATCACCACCCTCCCGAAAACCAACTAACCCAATCTTCCTTCTCCATCCACAGGGGCATCCTCAAAGACAACGCCTTCACCCCGGCCGGCGGCTGCGAGACGGCCATCGCGCCGGGCGAGACGATCCTGTGGGCCTTCAACGCCTTCAACGTGAACTTCTTCCTCGGCGCCTCGCCGTCCAGCCTGACCCTCTCGCCAGGCCAGGCCGCCACCGTCAGCGTCGTGGGCTACGACGGGAACGGCGGCTCCGGGACCCCGATCGCCGGCGCCTCGTTCAACGGACAGACCTCGGATGCGAATGGACAGGTGGTCTTTGTGGCGCCGACGGCGCCCGGCACGTACAGGTATAAGGCGACGAGGAGCGATTCGATCAGGAGTAATGCGGTGGTTGTCGTCGTGCAGTGAGAAGGAGGGGATTGATGGGCGGCGGCGGCGGCGAAGGCGATATCGCGGATTCTTCTTCTTCTTTTCTGATCCGGTTCTGGGGGGAAAAAGAGGGCATTTCTTTTCTTCACTTCTTTCATTTCTTTCTTTCTATCTATCTGGCGACCATAATAACATGCCGGCCAAATCTCTATTTTTTCTTTTTTTCCCGACTTTCAAAGGCTTTCCCTCCTCCTGCTCCTGCTGCTGGTTGTGCATCTTTCTTTCTCTCTTTCTTTCTTTCGGATTTTCGATTTTCTCTTCTCCCTTCTCCTCTCCCGGGATCAATCTCTCTTCTTTTGCTGTCCCCCTCTGGCAAGAAAAAAAAGAACTCTGGGGAAAAGAAACCCCCCTAAAAGAGAAAGAAAGAGAAAAGAGAAATGGAGGATTCGTCCCTGCCCTTTCTAATAGCCGCCATTAGACCGATCACGCGAAGAAGGCAAGAGGCAAGAGGCGAAAGAGAAAAGGGTAGAAAGGTCGAAAAAGGGTGGTAAGAAAGAGAACAGGGGACAGGCGGTGGTGACGAGTGGAAATTCGTCCCCGAGGAGAAATTGGGAAAAGGAAAGGGGGTTGGGGGCAACGGATGATAATGATGAACGATACTGTTACTACTACTACTACTACTACTACTAGGTGGGTGAGAGAGGGAGAGACTGAGCTCGCCAGAAGTCTCCATCGAACCTGCAACCTCCCAGGTTCGCGCATGAGATGAAGCATGCCCACGAGGAGACAGAGGCTGCTGCGGGAACTCGTTTGTCTATTACAGCGCGTTGTTCCGTCTCATGGATCATCCATTGCGTCGTGCGTGTCATGGGGAGGTCTCTTGCTTATATATATGTATGTATGTATGTATGTATGTAAGTGGATATCGGCAGCGGCGACGCCGATGTCGTGAGGTGGTCACGGTCCCTGGTGGTGCTGAAGCAATTGAGAGCGGGGGTGGAAGGAAAGAAAGAAAGGAGGGAGGAATTGATCGATACATGCCCCGGTCGTATAGAGGTTTGACCTCGTTGTCGTTGGTGTCGTCTTGAGTCGATGATGTGAGTCGATGATGATGATGATGCTGGAAATGGAAATGTGCCAAGTATGTGAGGTGGGCATTTATGAAGGCAGAAGGAAACTGTATTGGACTCGATTGGGATGGATGGATGGATGGACTGATTGAGATGAGTGGGAATGGGCGGCTCTTCTGGCACATGCCGCGAGAGCGAGAGAGAGAGGTTATCTTTTTGACTGAGAGTTACTGGGCTGGATTGGGTCTTTGGGATCAATCATTCAATGCATACATTGCATTGTGTGAATGGTTATATCTGTTTCTGCTATGACAGACAGATAGACAGACAGACAGGATTGGGGAGTGGAGAGAAGAGGAGGAGGAACCACAGGCGAGGAAGTGAGATGAAGCAAGGAGAGATGAAAAGGAGAGCATGTGCGAGGTTTCTGATCTCTTCCAATGAGCAACGAGTTGACTTGACCGATGTCGATTCTTGCTTTGGACGATGGTTTTCTGCGTTGACGGTCCGGTGGATTTCATGACTCGGACTCGGACTCGGGACTCGACGGCGACTATTTTTCCCCGAATTGGAACTCTCCGACTTCGAAGAATCCGCGAAAAGGCTCGCAGGTTGTCTGATCTCCTCGTCTGTCACCCTTATGCTTTCACGCGCTTGCGCCAATTCGGTCACAGAATCGTGGATTTTACAGATGTGTCGAAAACACCGATATTTTCGACGGAGGGTAGAGATCCGGTTTCCGCTGTTTAGTTCGTTCATTGGTATTAGGCTCTTGGCAAGACCAGATTCAACTGGCTCCCTAGGCTGACGCCTTGAGGAGGGAGATGGAAAAGAAATGCTCGAGAAAGACAGGACTCCCTTACCTTTGGAATGACTTACTGGTTTTCTCTCAAAAGGCGGAATATACGTCAGCGATGTACGACCGATACCGGCTCATCATAGCTCTGGATCGTCGACGCGCGCGCGATGCGATTTCTCAGCTTCATTGTCACCTACACAAGAAGGCGCGAAATCTTTCGTCCTCGAATGGCCATCACGACTCCTACTGTCCTACCTGTTACTGCATCCTACGGAATTACTGTGCTCTTGCAGATGGAGCATGTGTCACTCCTCGAAATAATTTCGCATTTCGAAACGAATCAGGAGCCCATGATTAGGAAGGCGCGGCCCTGGATCTTCGGCCATGTGAGAGAGCATATGTTGCTGGTGGTGTCGGCGATGCGAATTCGTGATCGGTGCCAGCGCGATCGTTCATATGAAGGCGCACACGACGTCTTGCCATGGAACGCGACGAGAACGCACATTTCTTCGACAGATGTGATCTATCTTCCCTTTTGCACGCAGCATGTGAGGACATTGGGTTGGGAACACCTCGGGAAGGTGTGTGTGACGGCGTAAATCTCGCGCGCAATTTCGTTATCCATCTCAGTCGCTGCATGTCAGGATTGTGAATAGCACGGTCGATACGGGAGGATGGGCGGCGGGCGTGCGGAGAGGTTCATGGAGGTCGACGGCGATATGGACCAGTGGAGGAGGGTGGATGAAGTGTGCTCGGGTGAGATGAGTAGCGAGCTGGTGTACGAAGCATGGGTTGGGCGACGATGGCCGTGCGGGCGCAACGGTAGGATTCGTGCATCGTATTTGACGTCGGTTGAGGCTGGTGCGGCAGCCAAAGCGGGTAGTTAGTAGTACTGTGTAGTAGTACCTGATGGTGGTGGCGGCAGTGACAATTTGCGATGCGCCCACTCCAGGTGGGAACAGAAGAAGACAGTGCTGGGAAAGAGGAAAGACAGCAGAGGAGGGAGAGAAAGAGGCCGCCGTCAAGGCGTTCAAATCCACCCGCGACAACAGTGAGTGAGGCATGCCGTGATGGACGACGTTGATGGCGAGCGATCGCGCGTGCTTGGCGAAGAGAAGAAGACGATGGAAACTGGCGGGCGAGAGAGAGAGAGAGAGAGAGAGAGAGAGACTCTGGTGCAAAAGTTGAGGTCAATGAAAAAAGGAAAGGAGGCGCCCGAGGTTTGATGGGGAACAAGAAGAGAGGAAGATATCCATAGGAAAAGCGTGACAAGAGAGAGAGGGAGAGAGAGAAGAAGGTGGACATGCGGGCAGGTTTGGGTGGTGAAGAAGGAGGGCAAAAGAGGAGGAGGAGCGAGGGAGAAAGACATTTTGTGGGCGGCCGGACTTTCGTTGGGGCGGGCCTTGGCTGCCCATGCGCGGGAACTCCGGCGGGTTCTTGGGGTGGAATTCGGCGTAGTGGTTGGTGGTGTTTTGTTGTGTGCCCAGTGAGAGATGATGGACGGGCGAGTGACGAGTGACGAGACCTTGCAGCTGCGCGAATCCGACCGAACCGGACCCAAATTCCCCAAGCTGCTGCTAGATATCGAGGGCGACGTTTCTGATTGGTCGCGTCCGGGATGACTCTACCAGCACCTGGGCAAGCGTCGAGTGAGAGAGAGATAAAGCGGGCCGGTGGATACCTACATACATACCTATAGTATCATCGCGAGACTGTATACATAGCGTCGTCGTATGGAGTAGTAGTGATGACATGCGAAGGTGGCGGATGCGAAAGGGAGAGAAGACGACTGATGGACGGAAGACTGCAGATAGTGTCCCCCGTTGGATCATCGCTGTGCCTCTCTGTCTCTCTCTCCCTCCTGTAGGTATCCGGACAGCGGTCTTTGGGCGTGGCTCGTTGCGGGCGGCCGTGCTCCTCCAGTGTGATGATGAGAACAGAGATCGGTGGAAACCTGGAACATTGCAAGAGGTCCAGTCCTTTCCTTTTGGCGGGACGATGGTGGTGACATTTTTGGAGAATCGTTGGTATCGCAGGCTGATGTGAGGGAAATCCGCTGTGCTGTGTCCGCGGATCGTCCCAAGCCTGTACTCGAGAAGGGCCTGAATTGCAGACAAAGACGGTGTCATCGAAGTCAAGCTGGCATCATCGTTGTTATTACAATCATCGTGATCTCTCACAGACTTCGTTCAGGTTTCGTCCAGCATCATGATTGTCATCATCATTGCCATCATCATGATCATCATCATGCAGGTTGCGTCCGGTCTGCCGCGTGGTTGCATTCCGGACCATGCCTCGTATGGTCAAGCGCAGCAGCCCTGGAGCTCGAGGAAACGACTCGAGTCTAGTCCTAGAAAGAGATGGTCGCTCGTCTACCAACACTAGCTTGCCGTTTCTTATCGTCGTCGCAATTTCAAAGGCGCAAGGCACACCTGGCATGCATGCATTCATTGTAATTCTACTAGGTGTACTGCTGCAGCCAGCCGTCCTATCAGAGCCGTCGCCAGTCCTGTCCAGCACAGGGAACATTTCCAAGAGAAAAGTTGCATCAGAAGCTCGAGTAGATACAACAACAGTACGTACAGTAGCTCCAGCGGCAAGATGATTCCCAATCTCCGACTTGTTCCCCACTGTCATGCGTCGACGACACAGTGGGTGATTGTGGGATCTTATCTACGTACCATCTGCGCCTCGTTGATGCCAGACAATTGGCGGGCACAGAGCTCAACATTGCAAGGAGGAATACGATCCTAGCATCCCACCAACCTGTGTCTCTCGGCTCAAGGTCTATCCATGGTGGTTGTTCGTCGATGACACCGGGACTGGAGTAAAACCGCCCTCATCGTATCTTTCCACTCTTGCGACTTTCCCTCTGACCCGCCTCGCCAACCGGAATCGTCGTTCCATGGGACTCCTACACCCTGGGGACCGTAGAACTCTGCTCTGCCCTGCATTTACTCGATCCAGTGAATGCTAACAGTCCCAGCGGGTATCCTTCCATTTCTCGAAGGAATCCCATCCGCGAGCACGTTCTCTAGCAGGAGATGATATCACGACTTCCTCAATGCAGAACATGCTGCTCATGCTTCCATCGTGGATGGCACGGCTAAGCACTACCGCCGTCGCTCGCTCTCACACGCAGGGTTACCATCATGACTGAGATCAGAATCACACTACACTTCCACCTCTGTCGTCGCCATAGGCCCCTCGAGGCTGCCATGCGCGCACAACACTCCCAGTCTCGCTTGTCACATGCAACCAGATACAGATTTATTGTCTTCGCCGTGTGTACACACCCGTAGATTCCTCGTGCTCTGCTCTTCTCTTCCCTGGCAAATCTTCATCGCGGCTTATCTTGGATTCGGATACCCTCTCTTCAGCGCTTGGAAATATCAGTCGCTCTTGAGAACAGCTTGAATCTTACGCCTGCGCATGAGCCGTCGCAACTCCGCCAGTATCGTAGTCAAATGGACACCAGAGGCGTGCGAGTGTCCACAGATCATATGAGATTTATGAAAAGATAACGAAGCAGAGCAGCGCAGAGATGAGCAAAGAGTGGAGAGGAGCGCCTGGGTAGGCGATGGATGGAACGGAAAGGGTAGCGAAGGGTAAGAGTGATCGAGCGAGCGAGCGAGTGAGTGAGTGTTGCGTGTTGCGCGCCGCCGCGCGATTACGCTGAGTCTTGGACCGTGCACGACCAACCGGGGGGAGAAAGAAAGAGCGATGGACAGAAGTCGCGGCACACCCTCCCTCCCGCTCGGTACCCGTGGACAAGTCGACACCACCAAAAGTACAAACAACTTTCCCCTCCGGTCCGCCCGCTGCGGCGGCAGAGAAAACAGCAGCCATGAGAGAGAAGCTAGGGCTGTGCGTGATGCTGGTTCTCAGACAAAAGTCGTGGCAGGGATGTCAATCCGCGATGGGTAGGGGAATGTAGTGTGTGTCTGTGTCTGAGAATGTATGTGCGTACGTGTGTGTGGTGGTGGTGCGTGGAAGGGAACGAACAGAGAGCGCGAGAGGAGAACAGAGAGGAACAGAGAGACGGCGTTGGTCTCCCCGTCGCGCACACTTTTCCCATCAATTCTTCCGGCTGGCTGGCTGACGGTCTCCCATTGCGCTGCCGCCGCCGCTCTGTCTGTGTCTCGCTCTCTCTGCCTGTGCCTCTGCCTCTGCCTCTGCCTCTGCCTGCTGCTGCTGCTGCTCTCTACAGCCTGCAGTACACGCTCTCTCTACCTATCCGTCCGCGTCTGTGTGTATGGTGAGGCTTGCTTTTGCACTCGCTCTATTCTTCTCTCTCTCTCACCTGAGAATCTCTCGCTCGCTTTCGCTACCATTCCCCTCCCTCGACTCTCACTCTTCTACTCTTACTCACACACCCACGGATCACTCCTTCTCTTTCCTTCATACTCTGGACTCTCGACCAAACCACCATTCTCACACACACGACTGACGTCCATCTCTTTTACAATTCCGTGACAATCATCGCCATCGCGATTCTCTTTCATCTACTCACCACCATACGTCCTTTGCGCTCGCCTGCGCTTTTCGACATCGAAACGTCCACCTGGCCGCTCACAACGGACCCGACGCGCCATCATACGGATCTCTCCCTCGACTACATCTCTGTCTCTTGATGATCGCCACTCTCTCGTCACACCTCCAATCCGGCCGTCTCGCGGCGAAAGACGGTCCTCGTGCTCCGAATCCGACCTAATCGCTCCTGTGTGTCGACCTTTCTGAGGACTTCATCGGTGGATCCATCAATCGTACAACCCATCCACAAGAGACGCGCACGGCAATCGTGATCTTCGGCGCGGTGGCCTTGTCGTGCCGGTCCGGTCATACTTTCGCGCTGTCGTCTCCATCCCAGTCATGCGCCGCAGGTTCGGCAAAGACCCCGTCACCTAATCCCTCCACTGTTCCCTCGAGACGGGATAGCATGACCGACATTTCATTTTCGGTCAAGGCTACCAATGCTCACGACTTCTCCCATGCCTCTCACTCATCGAGCGCGCACGCCGCCCATCATCACCACTACGATGGACCCAGCACCGATGACGCGCAAGAGGACGATACCATCAGCTGCGTGTGCGGGTACGCTGACGACGACGGATGGACTGTACAATGCGATAAATGTAATCGATGGCAGCACCAGTTGTGTTACTATCCCACCTATGAAGAGAAGACCCTGCCCGATAATATCGATCATTTCTGCGTCGACTGCGTTCCACGGCACGTCGATGTCACATATGCGCGACGACGCCAAAGTCAAAGACGAGAGGCTCAATCTTTGTCTTTGAATGGCGCCCGGAGAAGCGTGCCCAAGAGCCATAAGAAAAAGAAGGAAGTCACCGCGACCTACACGAACGGATGGCCACAAGAGAAGAGTCGAAATGACCGCAACAGTGCGGGCCCACGCGATCAGCCTCCTCCCGCCAAACGGCCCAAAACAACACATCGGACATCGGATTCGACGACGACGACTTCTACCAAGGGTCACTCGCGGAAGCGCAACGCATCGTCTGTGAACCACCGGAGGAGCTTGTCGCGCTCACCGGAGACATTCCCAGCACAATATTCTGATGAGTTTCTGCAAGCCTACGTCGAAGATGATTGGCAAGTCACTGATGGAAACATCCACAACATCGCGACGATGAACACCATGGTGCGATGGCTGAATGGACCCGACGACGACTTCCGAAAGGAGATTGGCTACGATAAAGTTGAGATTTACGCAAGGTGGAACGGTAATCTCAATGACATCCCCGGCAAAGCGGAAATCGAGGTTGTCGAGCTGCCAGACGACCAAGTCTACTATGAAGGTCATCAGCTCGTCTGGAAGGCTTTGACCGTCAAGGAACCCATCGCTGAAGGAGCATACATTGGTGAGCTCAAAGGTCAAGTTGAGCTACAATCCGAATACCAACAAGACCCATCAAATCGCTGGTCCAACCTCAAGCATCCCGAGTCCTTCGTCTTCTTCCACAGCAAACTGCCGATCGTCATCGACGCAAGGCAGACTGGAAACGAATTGCGATATATCCGTCGCAGTTGTACTCCCAATGCGCGCCTGCAGATCCTCGTCACTGGTGGAAACGAATATCACTTTTGCTTCATGGCAACACAGCAGATTGAACCCGGCGTCGAAATCACGATCGCCTGGGACACTCACTTCTCCGGACTTTCTGCTCACCAGACACAGGTCGATTCCGAATACTTGTCACGTCTATCGACGTGGGTGTCGAATGTGCTTGCCAATTGCGGACCATGCGCGTGTCAAGTGCCCGTGGGCGACTGTAAGATGTCGCGTCTCGATCGACGTGGCAAGGACATTGCTGAGGAGGCTCCGTCGGCGAAGCAACCCCGAAGCAAGAAGCGACGGACGAATCAACACGTCTCCCCGATTAACACCAACGCAGTGAACAGCCGATCAGGAAGTGAGGCTCGGCGAGTTGACAACGACGAGGAATCTGTACATTCGCGCTCGACTTCTGGTTCGGCCAGTCGTGACATCACTCCGAACACGCATTACTCCACCAATGGGCTGTCATCGGCTGCGCCTGAGCTCTCCGAACGGGAACGGAAGAAGCTGGCCAAAGAGGAGGAAATGTTCCGTCGACAAGAGGAAGAATCATCTGGGAAGCAAGCGAAGAAGAAACGCAGCAGTGCTGGTTCCAATGTCAACACGCCGACTGCCCCTTCATCGGCCAAGCAGGCCACCTTCCCAGCGTCGTCATCATCGTCATCGCGCTACACGGATGCTGGTACTTCACGGACACCACAATCAGCCAACACCACCAGCAAAGTCCATGCGCGACAAAAGAGTCGATCCTCCAAGGTCAGCTCGAAACCCGTCACGGCCGTCGTGAAGAAACCGAAACCACAATATGTCGATTGCAGTGTTCAATGCGACATGGATGAAGAGGATGCCAAAGCACGGGCTGCGACGCCGTTGCGCAAGCGGAATTTCATGCCTTTGAGGCAGCGACTGCTCGAGCGATGTGCGCGAAACAACTCACTATACAATGAATCGCGGAAATCGCTCAGTCCACCTTCGGCATCGCCTGTATTGGATCAGATGGAGATTGATTCCAAGCATGACGAGAGACCTTTACAATCGCCGACGCCGGGAAGTGCAACAGGATTGATCTCGCCGACATCCTCAACGGATGAATCGCCAATCAAATCCGAGGCTGATGCGACACATTCATCTTCTCCCACCAAGCCCGATTCACCTGATCCCCAAGCCCTCCGGTCACCTCCGCTGAATGAATCAAATGCTCCATCACGGCCGAGGAGTAAAGCATCCACACCAATTCCCTCCTCGCGGGGTGGTACGCCTGGTCCACAAACGAAGCATCCCTCCTTACACGTCAGCATGCCTCCGCCTTCAGCAGAAACTTCCACCGCCGCACACACCCATCAAATACCCGCAGCAACTGGCAGAACTTTGAATCATGGACTAGGCATCCAGACCAACTCTGTGGTCAATGGCACCTCCGAGACAGTCGTCACGCCCACTTCGACGACCGCTCCGGTCGCCAATCCCGCCGCAACGCCCTCGAGTCTCGTCGCACCTCTCAGCGCCGCAAACCTCTCATCTCCCAACCCATCCACCTCCGCCGCCGGCGCAAACACATCGACTCCCCTCCTGCCTCCTCCCACCAACGTCAAACAACCCAGCCCAAGTCCCAGCACCGCCTCCGCCACCAGCCTCCAACAACAACGGAAGAAGATGTCCCTCAGCGAATACGCCTCCAAGCGCAAAAACAAGTCTTCCAGCGTCGTGCCCACCCTAGGTGGCGGCGGCGCCAACACATCGTCCTCCGCCCCCGCCACCACTACAAACTCCCGCCTCCCCGCCGACCGCGACGCCAGCCCCGGCAGCACCGCCAGCGGCCCCATCGGCACCCCGTCCTCCGCCGACGACCGCCAGAGACTTCTCTCCTCGGGCTCCCTCTCGAACGTCCACGCCAGCGCCGGCACGGAAAGCGAAATGGACGTCGACGAGGAAGAAGCCGTGGTCGACGACGACGACGATGACGATGATGAAGGCGAATACGTCCCCGTCGGTCCGCCTGACGAGGAGGCTCTCGTCGCGTCACCCACGATCACGACGGAGACGGGAGGTCTGAGGGATAAGAACCCTTCTTCTTCCTCTTCTGCGCTTGTCGGTGCTGCTGCTGCGGATGTGAAAATGGAGGATGTTTTGACGACGACGACGACGACGACGACGACGACGGCCATGTAAGAAAAAGAAACACCAACGGGAAAGGGAAAGGGGAAAGGGGAAAGAAAAAAAAGGCCAAGGGTAATCCTGTCGCTATGCAGCTGCTGTCGCTCTAGTGGGGAACAGCGCCGGGCTCCTGTTCGATGGAACACCCGCCCTTCTGCTGTTTTGTGCCCCCTGTTGTGGAGGAGATGAAACCCTCCCGATTCCTCCCTCCACCTTCTCACTCACACATTATCTAACTACCTTCTTTTTTTTTCTCCTCCGATTCGATTACATGTATAGCAGTAACAACAACGTTGACCTCACAACCCATCGTCCCGCTCGTCTTCTTCTTTTTCTTCTTTTCGTGTCCTTCCTTGTCCCCTCTCCCTCCTGCCTGCCTCCTCTTCTTTGTGGTTGTTCTGGAAGAGCTCTGGAGAAAAGATGAAGTAAAAGTAAAAGGGGGAGCGGGAGCGGGAGGGGTTCAAGGCCCCTTCTTCCTCTTCACTCCCCGTCCTATCCTATCCTATCCTATCATATCTCGTCTCGTCTCGTCTCGTCTCCTCTTATCTCGTCTCGTCTCCTCTCCCGTCCGTCGAAAACCTTCCCTCCCATCAGCTAGTTTTTTGTCCCCCCTTTTTATTTGTTTTTCTTTTATTACGTCCCTGCCTGGAGAGGGAAGATGTCCGATGCGGGGCCCTACTGTTCTCTCGCTCTCGCTCTCTCTCTCTCTTCCTCTTCCTTCCTTGCGGGATTGCGGGAGAAATGAGGAGTAGGGGAGAAACCCCCGGTCGGCGAAGAAAGAAAGAAAGGGGGGAAAGGGGAGGGGAGGGGTGTTGTTCTCCGAGAGAAGGAGAAGGAGAGAGAGGGAGAGAGAGGACTACGCGTATAAAAGATCGAGGTCGGTTGGGTGGTTTTCAACTCTGTCCGCATTGGGAAATAGAAAAAGGCGTTTCTATGGAAAAGTCTGTTTTCCTTCTACAGAAAAAATGTCCCCTTTTTTCTCTTCTTTTTTCTTTTGCCCCCAGTGTGACAAACAGTAGACAGAGCTGGCGAGCCGGGTCTTCCCATCGGGGGTCTTACAGGCGGGATCGCCTTGTGATTTCATCATGCTGCGGACCTTGTGGATTCGGGATGGGGAAAGTGTGAATTGAAATTGTTTTGTTCTGTTCCGTAGGTCCATCTAACCATGAATATCCCGTCTTGGGAGCGTACGTTGGGGGGTAATCGTTGCCGCTTGTCTGCTTACTTGGCTCGCAGGTTGTGTTCTTGGTTGGGAAGCGCGGATATCTTCGCTTCCTTCTGTCAACCCGAGTTTCTCGAATCCCAAGCGTTATTAAGCATGGGTACAACGACGCGTGGCCTATCTCCCAAGGGCTTCTCTGATGCTCAGAGGCGATTACGCTCGCAATGCAAAGACGAGGCTTTCGACGAATCAGTCAAACTCGCGGCACTATTCTCTGGCACTCCTTGTCCAATCTTTTCTGAGAAGCTCGTTTCCGAGTGACTGCTCCCTGACTCGACAAAACGTTGGCGAATGAGATTTTTCCGGCGCCTGGCGAAAGCTTTCCATCTTTTTGGACAGAGAGGGCACGGTTTGACCGACGGGTGTGGTTCGTTTGAACAATCTTCGATGGGTTTGCGCAAAGTGCAAGCGGCCTTGACATGGAAATGGAAAGTCGGTCCGCAGCTTCAGGATAGCAATTCAAGTTTTCGGAGTGAGAAGTGCGCGCTTTAAGGGGTGCATATTTCATGGATTCAATCGTCTTCTTCAAGAATGGAGGGCTTCCGGGCGATGTCCACTCGATATCTTCGCGATTATCGATTTCGGTCTCGCTAGCAGGCTCGAACCATCAATGTTCCCACCCCGTACCTGCCCGCAAACGAAGTCCACCAGCCGATCGATCGATCCAGCTTTCCTCATCGACTCTTGCCCAAACCCATCTCGGCGCATACGATAATCCCACGGAAGCAATTTCTCCCGACCCTCTCTTCTCTCTCCCGCGGAAGATTTCTTGGTCAGGAAGACTCCACGGGCTCAGGAACGCCATCGTTCCGGAAACGCAAAGTGATGGGGAGGGAAATGCACAGCGCGATGGAACCGGCGAGGACGTAGATCACTGCGGACTTGAAGAGGATGTTGTTGATTCGCTCGCGTTGGGATGCGGTTATGGCGAAGAGATGGCTGAGAGGCATTGAGTTTGACTGATTGAGACTTGAAGTTTTTTATCTGGACGATGTTTGGAGGAAAGGCGCTGATGCGGGAGTTGACTCGAATTACGATCTGCCAACAATGCGAGACTTTTCTGGACAAGGAGTTTTGTCAAATAATGATGGGTACGGTAATGGACGCACGTAGTCGAGATATGCTGCTCAAATGAAGAAGATATCCAACTTTGTGTCCGTGGTTGTCTGTTTAACAATCTCTTCTGATGAGGACTCAACTCCGCAACACGAGATCCGCGCCTCCTCCCGGATGCTCATCAGCTCTTACCAGGAGCCGCTGAAGAGAGATGTTTAGATCTCTGAAATGGCAGTGCCGTCCGCTCGTCGACGGCGCGTTCTTAGGGTTGGTACTGAGGTTCCTGCTCTCTCTGCTTGACAAACAGGATCGATTTGATGTGGATGATGGTATCCATGCCTTTGAGTGAACGAAGATCGTGCGTGCGTGCGATTCTTGTGCTTTCTCCTTGCTTTGGATCGACGAAAGAGAATATCCCAGATTCAGAACAGAGACCTACCGTGATCACTCACCTCTCTGCGAATCTCGAAGCCAGCTCGAACTTCCCTCGCAACACGAAGCAGCCCTCTTCGACTGCTTCGAAACCCGCCAGCGACGACGCCGTAGACTTCAACCCTTCTCTCAAAAGAGAGAGCCCTCGGTCCCGCGCCGCCATCTATAGCTTGAGCGACAACTCAGAACATCGCCGCACCACGCACGCGCCGTGCTCTTTCTCCCCATCCCAATGGGTTTCAGGACAGGACATGAATCTTGAGTTTCGTTGTCCAGGATGACAACACAACGGTCCATGGCTCGCTTTCACAAAAGGCTAGACCCACTCTTCAATGAGTGGAAGCGGCCGATCCCAGGCACAACACGCCGAGGTAGACGGCCCATGAAAGCCGTTCTTCCAGAACGCAAATCGGACATTCACGGACAGAGAGTTTCCAAAGTGGAGCAAGCAGCAGCAAACATACGATATCAGGTGCCAATCCCCGCCGATACCCATTACCTTTCGATAGTGAAGTGGGGGAGGGGGCCGAGCATAGGCATTCTCCGCGACGACGGCATTCGAGGAATTCGATGGGAGGTGAAAGGTCCACAAACGACGACAATAAATCCCGCGGCGTTTCGGCATCCGTCCATGATATCATCATCATCAGACAGCAACAGCGTAAAGAATTAGGAAGAGCCGAATCCCGGTGCATCCTCGGCGAGAAGAAAAGCATCACGGTGAAGACGAAGAATGATCGACAAACTACCCTAAGCCCCAGGGTTTCTGCATTCCGGCGCCAGCGTGCCAATCATGCCCGAAGAAAAGGTAAGGTAAATGACCACCGCCGAACGGATCGACAGAGGCATACAGTACTGTACATGTCATCCATAGTGTACATGACATCCACACGCACGCACGCACGCGAAAAACCAATTGTTGGACATTTTTTAAATGTGACTGCGGTGATTGTCCTGAATTTCCCTCTCCCGGGACGAACGGACGGATGTGGATGCCGATTTCGTGCAGCAAAACCCGAAGGATGCGACTGGCAGCGGATGATGAAAGAGAAAGGTAGAGGGAGATGGGAAAAGGTGCCCCACCCGGACGATCATGCTGGGGAATTTCTGTCCCGCCGCCAAGGTCCCCGAATGAAAAATGATCCCCGCGAGGTCTTGGGGAGGCAAAATTGGTGGAGATTTGTGAGGGAGATGGGGATACGGTTTACATATGGTGATGACGATGATGGGATTTTTAGGGTCGTCGTGTATGCGCTTGGCAGGAGAGGAGAGGAGAGCGAGATGAACGAGAGGCAGCAATCGCATCGTAGAGAGAGAGAGAGAGAGAGAGAGAGATAAAGGAGATTATTGAACAACTGGCGCTTGTCGCCGGCCGGCGCAGGAATTGGGGTTTTAATTGGTATTGGCATTGGCGCTGGCATTGGCATTCATTCGTCCTCCCCCGATAGCAATTTATTATTGTTATTATTACTGTTGGCGGACGCGGCGAAGAGAAAGGTGCCAATCGCCGGCCTGCCTGCCAAGCGCGCTGGCTGGCTGGGCTGGCTCCCCGTAGCGCTCTCGGCTGATGATCGTCAGGTACGCAAGGCGATGCCCACACCCACCCGACGCTGATCAGAGTTCGCCGCTACGCCAGGGTTCGTGTTGCGAGCGGAAATTCGAACGGGAGGGGGGTGGGGAAAGGACTGGATTTCGCTCAGCGATGACTAGGGTACGGCAGGTTTGCTTCCAGGGCTTCACGAGGATTAGAAGATATCGTGCACTATCCGATGGCTGCTTGGGCCAAGATGTGGAGAATTTGGTCTTGGGAGACGTGGATGCCTTGGACGCTTTTTGGCGTTTTTTGCGCTCGTGGACCGACTGCCCCATCATCACCACCACCACCATCGTTGGAAGTGGGCCAGCTGATAGCATTGATGATGACAGGGGAGGATCTCTTAATCGAGTTTCACCTTTTTCGCACAATTTCGCCGAACTCGCGCCACAACTCGGCGAGATCTTCAGTGGCGGTAGGCTAAGTGCTTGCGCCCATTTCAATCCCGGTTAGCATGATGATGTTTGGGGCGAGATGGTTCAAGACCGAGAGACGTTGGGTAGTGGCCTTTTTGGGCGGTGCTCTCTAAGATGAGAGTCCACTCTTGCTTTCACGATGATCGCATCTGGTGACATGTCAGGTCATATGCTTCTCCTTCATGCATGATGCGAGTGATATGATATGTAACTCCAAGCAGCTATCTTTCTTCTCCGCATGCTTGTTTTCATAAGCGTGCAGCTGGCCAGACGTCCGAGTAGACTTGGCGACTAACAGCAGCTGCTTTTTCCTCATCTCCCTCGGCTTCTTGGAGAAGCGCAGACTCAGCCTTGCTCTTTCGATGCCATAGTCGCAAGGCTGTTCACTTGGCGAGAGATGGGGTAAGATGTCTTGGGGATCGACGTTGCCGCGTCCGTCCAGTACGCTTTTGGCTACATCCTGCGATCGCCTGTGGTGGCTAAAGAGGAGGTACATTCGTCCTTGGCCTTATCGTGGCGTTCAGCCTACGGCTTGTATTTGGTTGCTTTGGGGGGCCACAGTGGATACACTGTGTATCTCGTGTCTGAGCATCGTCAAGGTTGTTGTGGGATTGCTGCTATGTCAGAGATGAGAGCTAACATGCGATCAGCAAATGGCATTGTCCTTTTGACATGCCTCCCATACTCCTCGCAGAAACCTCGGAAAGAGAGACTCTCGTATAACCTCTTTGTCACACAAGGCCGACGCGAATGTCTTGCTCCAAGCTCTTCTATTGCCTAGATGAGCTCGCTGGAAATGGTCATGCATTCCATGCTTCCGTGGGGCAAGCTTTGTCTGCTATTGCTCGTTGAAGAGCAACGCGCACAATTGCCGTTGTCGTAGATGATCCAGTAAAGCTAGACAGGTGAAAATACGCGCGAAGGCTTAATATGTGCTCCGAAAATGTGCGAAAAACGACCTACCTGTTCGACTGCTCGAGACTCACCTTCTGTAACGGAGCGGTTTCTAGTTGGCGCAGCCGGTCAGGTATTGCTCACGCTGAACATCTTTGTCGACCCAAGACCGTCGATTAGGAGATGAAGTCCACAGAATCTCCTTCAACTTCTATGAGCGAGCGACCAGTGATCGCTCACAGGGATCGCTCACAGTGATGTCCAGCTGAATCGCGGCGAACGCACGCGCGACCTGCAATGACAGGGATCGACCGGCTGCTTTTCTAAGAGCATGATCCGTGACGGAAGCTCAGATTGCGAATCCCTGTCCTGTCGGGACCCAATGTAGTGAGAGCGACCAATACTGTGGTTGAGAGCGCGCGGCTCAAGACATTCGATCGCTGCAGATGTCCTTCGGGCTGCTGATATCAGCTTGTCACATGCTTCGGGGAGCGGGAGACTGATGACGTGCGAAATCTCCTCGACCAAACTCCGTGAGCGCGCTGGACGACAGTAATTGCGAAGTTCCATTCTGAAGCAAACTCTCGAAGCGCCGACAGCGCCCTGATGATGTGTTTTGATCCGAATGCGGCTTCGAGGCGTCCTGTCTTATCTCGTGGCTGCCAAGGGATTGGGATTGTCGGGTTTGATGACGACAGTGGGCGTTGTTCTCGGCTTGCATCGCGGGGTGTTTGGTTGGTTGATTGGCAGACAGGCATGAATTTGATGCGAGATAACTCCGTTGCGACTCGGGACACACGAGAGGCCTCGAGAGGTCGTCCATTGTCGGTCGTTGATGCTTCAACATGCCGTATGTCGACCCAATCAACCATGGTTTGGAATGTTTGTAATTATCCATGTAGCTGGCTCAGAGCTTGCAACACAGCGATTGGCGGCTTTTTCGGTGGACTGCACCAGGACAGGGATTGCTCGCACAGGACCTCTGAAGCCATCGACGTCAATCGTGAAGCTTTTTTGGTTTCCCGATCATGTTGGAACTTCCTGCCGGGGCCACCAAGGATAGAAAAAGGCAAAGTGTATCGCCCAAGGAGGGTTTCATGATGCCGTTGCAACAGTGCGGCACGGCACACCGCAAGGTGAACAATCTCTCAGCACAGCGGAGGAGCAAAAAAAAAAAGGTCAGACACGCTCCAATGAGGAAGTCGCAGCAGCAGGGGAGGCGACGTAATCCCAATATCTTTTATCGAACAACATTCGCTTTTGTCCTCCTCCACGGACCTACAGATCTCAAAGGGCCATCTAGACTCACCATGATCATTGTCATCCCGGCCCCCAAGTCGGATTCCCGGCACGACGACGACCCAAGGGCAGTCCGAAAATGCCGCAAAGTGGGCGCTTTTCGGACGCCACGCGGCACGAAGGAGAAACTACTGTCGATACGAACGACACCCCCATGCCGTGGACGATTCCCGAGAACATGGGGTTCCTCCCTTGTAATGCCGCCTGCCGCCGCCCGCCGCCGCCGCCGGCAATCCACCAGCCAGCAACAGCGAGAAACCCCCCCCCCCCAACTGGTGTCTGACGAGAATCGAGACATTGGTCGGGATGTGGCCTTTCTCATCGATTGAATGGATATGCAAATTTCCCGGATCGTCACACGACGACGACGACGAAGTGCGCAACGTCATTTCCCCGACCGGCCATGCACCTCGACGGAATGTCCCGCCATACGCAACAGCCCGGCGCGGTCGTTCGGCAACCTGCGCACTGCGGGTTGGCTGGCTGGCTGGCTGTGCGGCTCACGCGCAGATGAATATCTCACCACCGAGTGCTGTGCGGGAGTCACATCGCGGAACGGAGCAGACGGACGGACAGACTGGCGCGCGAAAAGAACCTCGCTCGACAGAGCGGTCGGGCCACGCGTCGCCGGATGCGATTTTTGACTATGGCATGTCCAGCGAGAGGGAGGGAGAGAGAAGGGTAGAGCATACACAGTTCAATTCAGACCTCGTGATAGAGAAACGTTGCCGACGAGCCGAAGGACATCACGTCCAGCCCAAGCTGATCAAGGTATCTCGACAGCAGCAAGACGACATCTCCCTCGCGCGCGTGGCGCCCGGGGAGTTGTAGTCCACATTGTGTGCAATGCCCACCTACCTACCTCCACGGGAAGTGGTATGTACCTAGGTAGTGTAATAATCGCAGCTGGCAGTCGTACGATCCAACTACATAGTAACAATCATCAAGCTCGAAATGGGCAATGCGAGAGCTTACTCGCTCCCTCTCTCTCTCTGTTGACCAGTACCTGCCTGGGAGAACGCAGTAGTAGTATTGCCGAGAACACGCCCGAAGCGCGCCACAGCGCCGACCGACCTACCTAGGTACCTACAGCACGACTCTCAACCCGCCCGCCTGTCGCCAATGGCGAAGCTCTCAACATGTCCAATGCCGGTATATTTCGACCTTGGATCTCCATCAAATCACCTCACCCCACGCTTTCCAATCTAATGTCCGAGAGGGCTTTTGGTCCTTTTTGGCTTTTCTTCTTCCGGGCTGTCGACGGCGCGAAAGATCAACCTCGTTGCTTTTTGGGGGGGGAGGGGGGCGGTAGCCGAGCATTGTCCCTTTCGAGGGAAAAAGCTGTGTTCCCGCGCGCACGTGGGTTTTTGGAGGGGTCTGGCTGATGAAATGACTCGTGTATCTGTGTCTGGGTGTGTGTTTCTTTCGATGCGAGCGGAGCCGAGGGAAACCTCGGATCGTGAGCTTTGCTTCGTGTTCGTCCCGCCAACGAATTCTATCGAAAATGGAGGAGGAGGAGGAGGATGGGAGCTACTGCGGGTATGGATCGTGTGTGCTATTGTGGGTTGTTTCGTGGCCAGTGAATGTCCTGTTAATCGATAGAGGCGCGATGGGATTGGTGGGTCGGTTGCATTTTACTGTGTCATTATGGACTCTGGAGTTCTACCCTTATGTCGAGTGGTCTGTGTAGGAAAATGTCAATTTTGTGGAGAGTGCTAATACATTGGACTATTCGAACTATGCCCGTAGGTGCCAAGTGTGCAGGCGGGATAGGGTTGGTGGTTGGATTTTGATCGGTTAGGGTTTGGGTATGTGTCGTTTTGTGGACTACGATGTTCATGGCCATTTGAAGTGTACGATGGAGACGAGTCTTTGTGTGTCTTGAACGGACGATGATCCTCATGATCACAGGTGGAAGAGGTGCTTGAGCAACGTGTATAGTCTCTCTATAAAAACGTTAAGTCGATACCAGGTGAGGGCAATGGAGCTGCTCTCTCGAGATGTCTATGTGACCATTCATAGTTTGCTCCGACTGTGTCGTGACCAATGCCCTGAGCATATGTGACTGTTCAGTCGCCTACATACACCAAACGCGATGGAATAAAGGCCACGGTACCCGACAAAGAAGCATCCCAGCCCCTTCACCATATTAGACCTCTTCATTATCAAAGAGAGCATCTATCAAAGACAATCCACGCCCTCATCAAAGAGTCTACAGCTTTTCATCAAATCACCTTGCCCGACTTCAGCCGCAAGGCAAGGCAAAGCGAAAGCCGAAAACCAGCCCAGCCCAGTCCAGTCCGTTGCCCCGAGCAACGAGAGAGAGAAAGAGAGGGAGGAAAAAAAAGGCACGAAAGCCAGCCGACGATCAGGGGACCGCGCCCGTCCGCCCCACCCATGCATCTGGCGCGTGGGCCCCGCCCAGGAACACGCCCAGGAACATCCTCATCTACAATGCGCGATGGAACGAGGAATGACAACAAGGGAAGAGGCCAGGCAGGCCGTATGAGAGGCTTCGCAGCTAGACTGGAAAACCGCCCACTCGAGATCTCTCTCTCTCTCTCTACACGAAGATCGAATCTCCAGCACAGGGCCGCTCGCACCATCATCGTCCCAAGGTTAATACCATCAGCACGGAGATTGTTGACCAGAGGCGAGAAGGAAGGAAAAGGAAATGAGAATTATAAGCAGCCGTTGAGTTTTGGCGTTATTTTTTGGTTGCGGGCGGCGTGGGTTCGGGAATTGGGCATTTGGGGATCACGGTGTGTGTGTGTGTGGGGCTGATGAGTCTACCGCCACTATAGTCACAATGATCATAAAGAACAATAACCATCACGAAGAGCAGGCAGATATTGTATACTGCGCCACCGCCGCACTGGCCGTGTGTGAGGAATATGTGAATATGTGAAATTGTGAGGAATGTGGAATTGTGATTGTGATTGTGATTGCGGATGTGCTGATTGGTGTAGGTAGGTCGGGAGACAGGGAGGTAGGTGACGCCGCAAAGGGAGATTTCTGATTTGGATGTGGGCATGAATGTTTCTACATACATCCGCCGGATTTCCGCAATTGTTTGCTCTCGCTACTTTTTTATTATCAGGGACACGTGCGTTTGGTGTCGTGGATTGAGCTTTCCGCGATGATGGGTCAAAAATAAGAGGGTGACAATACGACTTGCACGCGGGTCCGGCACAGACAGACAGATAGACTCGGGAACTCCGGCTCCGTCGTCAGCTGAGGCTGTTGTAGCAATACTCTCCATTGCTTGCTTGCGATATCATCACACTGGTGGTCGAAGGTGAGATCTCCACGCAGCGATGCGATGCGATGCGCCGTGGTGGTTCAGATGAAGTACTTCCCACGACATCGATCCCGAACCTCCTCCACGGGCGGAAGTCGCTGGAGTGGCCAGCCCTATCGAATTGCGTCTTAAAATGTCTCTCATCTCAGTCACCATCCATCCATCATCGTTCTCCTCGCGTGCGTGCGTGTCGCCGTTCGGTTCGTTCGGGCCTGCTCGCCGACGTTCCGGGAATGGAGGGATGGATGCCAGGTACAACATTCACTGTACCTTTCGGGGCAGGGGAGGGCCGGCCGGCATTTTTGCGTCATTTGGTCTTTGATGATGGGTGGGATGCAACACTCGTCACACACATCACTGAGCGTGCGACGTGGATCTTGTGATGATTTGATGGCTTCCCTCTCTTTCTCCTATGATGAATTATGGGAACTTTCCTATCCAGGGCATGTTGGTATGTATGCCAAGATGTTTGGTGGAGTCATGTCACATACATTCCCAGAGGGGGAAAATAATGGATCGGGGTTCATTCCTTGGGGCGGATTCTTTCCCTTTCACATGGGTTGTGCGTGCGCTTGGGTTGGATATGCGCCATGGTAGTAGAGTCGAAAGGGAGGAGAATAGGAACAAACTCCTCTCCAATCCAGGAACCGAGGATGCATCGTCGAAATAGATTTCCATGGAGAAGCCCCCGCGACGTCATTTCCCATTTCCCAACATCTGGGACAATTCCCCTGCTGCCCGATACAGATGATGATTGCCCGTCGCCAAGGTTCTTGGTGAAATCCCTCGTAGCTCACCCATGGGATGATCCACATCAATATCTTTCCGCGGATCTTGCCCTTGGCGGCTGGGAGGAGGCATCTGTATGTCCTGTCTACAACATCGTCCGGTCTGAATCAGATTCCGAAACGGGAGGGGCGAAACACTTTCCGCCAAGCAACAACGACGACGACGCCGATGAGGATTGAGAGGACAGAGTGTTCACAATTTCGTTCGACTCAAGACTTGGCTTGAGTCCATCCGCTGCTTATTCAGCACTTTCTAGTTCGACGACGACGACGACATCGATGCGGGAAAGGTATGGATCATCAGGGAATCTACGATCGACGTAAGGATTCAGAACCTGCGCCCCGGCACGTGAATGCATATACTGTCATGTACCGTCGATCAATGTTTCTCTTTCTCTCGGCGCATCGCCTCACATTGGCATGTGGATCTCCGGCATGGTGGACAAAGACAGGTGAAATGCAGAATGATATCTCTGCCGGCCTCTCTCTCTCATCGCGTGAAATTGAGCGAGTGACATCCCATCTGCGCTGCCGAGCAAGCGGAAAACTCCCACGGGACAACATCCCTGTCGGGAATTATCATCATCACTGCAGTCTATCCGTGTAGCCCTTGTTCCTCCTCCACTTGCCTTGCCTGGTGCCCCAACAACCGTTCTCATCATCGAAAGGAAAAAAGAGCCTGTCACGAGATATGAAAGTCGCGCGGGAGAACGACCTGATGGAGCTCCTGCTTAGCGGGACCCTTGGACTGTGCCACGAACGGCCCGTGATATCCACAAGGCAGAAAGGTCCCTTCGTCTTCGTCGCCGTCGCCGCAGCGTGTAGTGATGCTGTCGGACATGTAGCGACAACAAACATACATAGGTACACAGTGCGCCAGAGTGTGTGGGGGGATTCGCTCACATCGCATCGCGGCAAAAGGCGGCGTGCAAGGCGGCGAGTCCAAGGTTTCTAGGGCATGCAGGTGCCGAAGAAGCCGCCGCCGCCCGCGGGGTGCTGCTCACGATGGATGGGAAATGGGCCGAACTGGCCGAACGGGCCCGCTCCGTGACGACGGGAGTCGTTAAATGCCTCATACTAATTCCTTTCAGGACCTGGGCCCTCTGTTATTATCATACGAGGAGTTCTGACCGCCGGAGAAAGAAGTGATGAAAGGGACTGCATGTGTGCACGGCTAGAGACCCTGGTCCTTCACTGCTACTGCTACTGCTGCTGCTGCTGCTGCCAGGAACCATCGCCGGCGATGGGCGCATGTCGTGTGATCACTTGCTATTTCCTACATCCTGCTGTTGGTCCTCTCGGCTTCACGGCATCTCCGTCTGTCTGTCGTGTCCTCTGCCCTTGCGGCTTGCATGTCCCGCGATGACGACGACTCCACACGCAAAGTGGAAGAAAGCCAACCATGAAAGATCCCACGGGAAGGTGCATTTGGTTTCCCTCTTCACCGCGGATGATCGCGTCGACGACGATGCTGGATGGAGATGTCGAGAGGGGATTTTTCGACT